AGAATACTGAAGCAATGCAAGATTTACAGTTTTTTCCAAGCCCTCCAGAGAGACAACAAGAGGGCCAGAGCAGGACCCAGGAGTCCAGACCACTGCGTCTCCCATTCCTATTGGGGTTGGCTCTCCAGGAGCCCCTTGCAGAGCCCTGGGGCTAATTCCTTGCATGGGTCCTGGACAGGTCTGCAGTTTCCATGGAGACCGCCTCCCACCATCCCTGAAATCTCATTGTGACCAGTATTAAGGGATTAACTCTGCCCAGCGGCCCTCACAGGGTCTGGGGTGCTGAGGGGGGCCAGCAGGAGCTCCGTCAAGGATGAAGAGGTTGTGCACTGTGCGGGACCCCATAGCAGCAGGAGGAGGATGTCGGACTGGGGCCAGGGCTTCCCCCGGGACCCACCAGGTATGGTCCTGACTCCACATCTGCCTGGAATGAAGGATGGGATGGTAGGAGAGAGACACAGGACCAAGGGGGAGGATTCCAGACTGGGAGCAGTGTGGAGGATTTGTACCCTCATCCCCTAACCCAGGAACGTCCAGGGCCCTCATGGGTGAATGACGTTCTGATCACAGAAGGAGGATCCAGATGACCTCAACAAGGTGAGGGGAGCCCCGTGGAGTCTTAGGGGTACTCCAAGGCTGCCTAAAGACCAGATCTCTAATCTCTCCCATTTTGCAGTTGGGGAAACAGAGGCACGGAGAGGGAAAATGACTTGCCCAAAGTCAGTGAGTCAGCAAACTGAAGCAGGTCAAGAATCCAGAGGGAACCCTGAAGTTCCCTAAGCAGACAACAATTGGTTAAAATCTCATTGCCACTTCCACCTTGAGCTCCAAATCCTCCTCCCTGAGCTCCAGGCATGGGGTCCCCTCCGTCCCCTCACCCAGAGCCTGTCTCATCGGCCATGCTTCCCTCCCTGCCTCTCATCCTCCTCCTGACTTCCCCTGCCACCCGCACCACCTGAGGCTGAAGAGAGTTCCTGGCAGGTTCTCCAGTGCTGGCGGGCACAGCCACCAGGCCCCCACTGTTCCATCCAGGGAACACCTTCCCACTGGGTCCCTATCTGGATGACTTGGGACATTCTTTGTTCCACACTTCATCCTCTCTTTGGGATTTCTGGGTCCAGACACAGTGAGGACCCTGACAGCCCCCCTCCCCATCTCTTGTCCTGAGAAGGCCAGGCCTGCGTGGGAGAGGTTTAACCAGACTCCGAAGCTCTCTGGGCCGGGCTTCGTGGAAGGCCATATCAGTGCAGGGGCATACACGCCAGCTCTGGAGCCAGGTGGAGATGGCTCTAACACCACTGCCTTGGCTCACTGGGAAAATGATATTCCTTCTCTGAGCCTCCGTTTCCTCACCTGTGATGGGAGACAACAACCCTTCCTTCCTCAAAGCTTACTCTCAGCTGCCGTGGAAAGATCTCCAGGTTGTGATGTTAAATGAACCAAACAAGATACAGAACAGTGTAAGAGCAGAAACTACTCATGTATGATCTTACGTGCTGTCTGGTCTGTATAAAGAAACCTTGGTAGATACATCTGTAAGGGATGTGGTCTCCCATAGTGAGGAAGTCAGGGAGAACAGGTGAACAGGAGACAGAGGTGGACGCCAGACTTCTCAATATACACCTTTTATGTTTTCTTTCTGAACCGTGTGAATGTAGCACCAATTCAAAACTAAATGTAAAGATGTTCACAAGTTAAGTAAAATATTAAATCATAATAATAACACATAACTCAATAACATGACAGGTGTGCAGCCAAGATTTAGACCCAGGTACTAGAAATGGACTCAAAGGAACAGAGGAGGCCTGTCTTCAAGTCACTGAATACTTAACCTAGAAGGGCCCTTTGTCTTTTCAACGTCAAATTGCCAATAACAACAATAATAGTCTTGGTAGCCAGAATCAGGAGCTCCCTACCTGGGGAACATGCTGCCAAGCGCTGTCTGAACATTATCTCATTTAATTAGCATTTTGATTTTGTGAGGAAACGATCATCATTCTTACTTTACAGATGGGCAAACTGAGCCTCGCTGAAGTTTTGACTAGTAAGTTGTAGTAAGTGATAGAAATTGGATGCCATCGAAGGCTTTCCAGCTTCAAATTTCAAGCCCCCTACCGTGGGTCTCAATATTGGCTGCACAAAAATATAGATGCCTGGCACCTCCCCACCCCTACCCCAAGGTTCGATCATTGGTCTGTGATGGAGACTGGGCATCTGTCTTACATTTTAAAAAATCTTTTTAAAAAATAGACACCAGATCTCTCTATGTTGCCCAGGCTGGTCTCAAACTCCTGGGCTCAAGTAATCCTCCCATCTCAGCCTCCCAAAGTGCTAGGATTACAGGTGTGAGCCACCGTGTTTGGCCAACATCTGTAAATTTTAAAGGTTTCAGATGATTCTATGTCATCTTCAGGGTTGAGTCTCTGCTTTGTTAGACAAAACTTCTCCAGTGGGAAACCAAGGCCAGGGAGGGAAATGACCTTGCCCAAGGACACACAGTGGCTGGAACCAGAGCTGGGGCAGGGCACCCAGCAGCTCACATGAAGCCTTTGGGCAAATAAGAAAAAGGCATCCCACTCTGGGCAGGCAGAGTTTCATGGGCACTTCGCTCGGCAAGTGGAACAGGGGCCAGATTTCCATCCCTACTCACCCTCTTGGATGGAGAACCTTTGTGCAGTGAGCAACCTGCACAACTATACAGGGCAGTAACTGGCCTGAGCCTCAGGACTTCCAAACACTTCACCTTAGTGACCTGACAAATCCCTGGGGCCCCTCAGAACAAGAGGATGGGGAGACCAAGGGTGGCTTCTGGGATGCGGGCTCAGCCCTCACTCCCCAAACCAGAGTCTGGGTCAGGCAGCGGCTCCCATCAGCCTTCAGGCCCCACAAGGGCCGGGAAGGCTGCATTAATTCCCAAGGTCACCCCTGCGGATAAATTCAGCAACATAAACAGGAGGGATGAGCATAAACAGGAGGACAGCAACACCCTCGACCCAGATGTCATAAGCCACCTGGCAGGAGGCAGCCTGCAGAGAGGCCCCACCCACACAGATCCAAGTCCTCCTGGCTTCCTTCCTGATCATTCTCCAGACCATACTCTCTGCCCTACCTCCAGAGCCTTGCAGTCAGCATCTCCCACAGTGCCATGCTCTCTGCCCTTCTCCTGGCCATCTCTCACTGGCATCCCTGGAAGGGAAGGGTAGCCCTGGAGTTAAAGGCACGGACTCTAGAGACAGACTGCCCAGGTTCCAATTCTACTTCTTGTTTCTCATCAGCTGTGTGAGCATGGGTATATGACTCAACCTCTCTGTGCCTCTGCTGTGTAAAATGATAGTGAAAACATTGCCTACCTCCCAGAGTGGCTGGGAGGATCCAGGAAGTAACACGTGCAAAGCCCCTAAAACAGCTGCATATCCATTGGCCATGATGATCAATGTGTATATTTCACTTCATTTCATTTTCATGACAACCCTAGAAGTTATTATAATTCCCAATTTACAGGTGAAGAAACTGAGGCTCGGAGAGGTTGAGAGAGTCAGGGCAGGGCTCTGCATCTTTCTTCAGGGCCTGATTCCTCCAGAGACAGGACGTGGCTGAGATAGATTATAATGTAGTCTCTGGTTTGCAGTGCATGGCTGCTGGTCACATCTTCACAGGGCCCATGGGACACAGAGCCAGGTGGATTCCATGGATTTGGGTCTTCCAGTGGCTCTCAGGCACCTCTCTGCTTCCAGCTAGCCCTGGGAGGAGGGGGAGTACGGCATGGCAAGGCATTTGCAGAGCTGTCTTTTTCACCAATGTCCTTCAAGACATTGCTCAGGTCCATAGAGAGCCCCCCATTCATTCCCATGCTGGCTGGAGCCCCTGAATACCCGCGGTGACCTTCTGTCCTTGGACAAGTCACTTCCCCCTCTGATCTCCGTCTCCCCATCTGTGCAATGAGGGGATGAGGGTGGATCAGTGGTTTTCCAACCCTCAAATAAAATATTAAGATTGCACGTAAAAGGGAGTCGCCGGTTGAAGCTGGGCCTGTGGATGCATACCCTCGGCTCCTGGGAGCCTTGGAACCCAACTTGAAAAGCCCCAGCCCACCTAAAGATTCTCCTGGCTCTGACACTGCAGAGTTCTAGAACCCCAAGCTCAAAGCTGCCGCTTCTCATCCCTGTTTGGAAAGCTCTCCCCCAGCTGCCTTTATCTCTCTTTGGTAACAGAGCAAATTTGCTCAGGACCCAGCACAGGGGGAACAAGCAGACTGTTGACTCTTGAGCAAAGCCTCCTCTTTGGAGAGTAGCCGAGGTGGCCGTGGGATATACGTTGGGAGGCCAGCGGCCTCTTGCATAACCCTGGAGGCCTCCTGCCCACCCAGGCCTTTTCAGGGTTAGGGGTGAGGAAAACCGCAAACTCATGCCCAGTTAATTTTTTAAGGCAAAATCAACAGGCTCAGCAATGATTAGCAGCTGGGTAAGTTGGTCTTAATCAGGATGAGGACAGGGAGGGAGGAAGGAGGCCCAGGGATGGGGCCCAGTTATCAGTTAACCACATGAATGTTGCTTCCTTCCAAACCTGCTGGCCTTCAGCCCCAAGCTCCCTCATCTTCCTCTAGGAAATACTCCTGTGACAAGCCAGTGGCCACCCATCATTGGGTGAACAAACACAACGCCACTCATGGTCTGTGATGAAGCAGAAAGTGCTCGTTGTTAAGACAAAGCTCACCCATCACCACTGCGTGGCTTTGAGCAAGTCCCTTTCACCCTCTGAGGCTCTGTGAGGGGCCCCAGGTCTGGGCCCCGAGTCTATGGTTCAGTTGACCAGCTGCCACTCCCCTGACGGCCTCAGTGTTTCTGTCCACCAAATGGGTGGGTTAGCCGAGGCATCTTTTCCAGTCTTGAAGCTTTGTGGGTGCCTGATTTGATTAAGCCATGGTGGCCTGCGCCCAGAGTGCTGAGGGTGGTATGAGTAGCATTTTAGGAGCTCAAAGAAGAGAAAGGGAGGGGACCTACCTGGTGTCTGCCATTGATATCAGCAAGCGTCAGATCCCAGCTCCAGGAAGAGGGCTGTCCTCTCAGATGGGAGGCAGGGGTCCGGTGGGGTGGCTGTGGCTGCAGGGATGGCCTGGCAGAGCCTCTTGGTGGCCCAGACCCCATGTCCCTGGACCTTGGAAGCCGCTAAAGGAAGCAGCAAGACCAGGCCAGCTGGTGGCTGCCTGGACTGGAGTTTGGTCAGTGGTTGGGGACCTATATTGTGAGATAGTTAGGACTTTGTCCACAAACTGGAATTTGAAATTTCAAAGGGGCAAAACTGAAGGGCCCTACCCCAGAGTGGAGATGGCTCTTGGCTTCTTTCCTCCACGACTTTTGTTCTTTGTCTTGATAAGTCCCAGTTTTTCCTGCACCGCTCCCGGAGTGGTGGGTGGGGAAGAAAAGATAGGAGATAGTGGTGTGGTGAGCACCAAAGGGAAGAGAAGATGCCAGGCAGCCCTGGGGTGGCCAGGCATGTGGAGGATGCCCCTGAACCTGCCTATGCCAAGGGATAAGGTGCTTTACCTCTCAGGTCCTTGAGTTCCCATGCAAGACTGAGGCAGTGAAACCAGCAGCTCCAGTGCCTTAGAATTCTGAAGTCCTTTCTGGGATTCCAGGAGTCATGATCCAGGCAGTGCATAGAGGGGTGAAGCCCTCAAGCTCTGGAGGTAGACTTGGGTTCAAACGACAGCCCCTCCCTTACGAGCTGTGTGGCTTTGGGCAAGTCACTTCACCTCTCTGAGCCTCAATTTTGTCATCTTTAAAATGGGGATGACAATAGCCCGTATCTCAATGGGCAGATAATATGAGAAGAGTAGAAGGTTTTTAGCACTAGGACTAGCACAGAATTTCTCTGTAAACATTAGACCTTATTATAATGTAAAAGAAAAACAATGTGGTTCACAGTGGCAGCTCCCTTACCACCATCCACAGCAGAGGCACGAGCTCCCTATACATGCCTCCCCGACTGCAGGCTGACCAGGGCAATCCCTCTTTCCCATCTCAATTGGGTCTCTCGATGGATTCCAAGGTCCTCTGCTATCCCCTGGAATCTGCTGCCTCTTGAGTTGGGGCCTGACAGCCGGTGAGCCGAGGTAAAGAACGGCTGCTAAATTGATGGCATTGAGGCCAGACCTTGTTCATGGCTGGGCGTGCGGTACCTGGAGCTGTCCTGAGCAGGGGTCCTGATTCTGACTGATTATGTGGCCAGTGTTCATGAAGTCAATGACCAATGACAGTAATTGCTACTGTTGTACTGTGTGCTTACACCTGGTCATTTAATGCTTGAATCATCCTACAAAGAAGGTATCAACCCAATTTTTCTGATGCTGAAACTAAGGCTGAGAAAGGTAGAAGTTGAGGTCACAGAGTTTGGTACATTGGCACTGCCTGGATTTTAACCCAGATCTATCTGACTACAAGATCTGTGGTTTATTCCCCTAAAGAGAGGTCGGGGGAAGCGGGGGCTAAGAATCTTATCTACTCTCTCATTTAATCTTCACCACAAACTACAAGTTAGACCCATTCTACAGAAGGAGTAACCAAGGTTCGAAATAAAACTTACCTTGTACAGACAGCTGGTCCTGGGCTGGGAATATAGTCACCGGTATACAGGCACCAGAGACCAACACCCACAGGCTAACACCCACTCAGTCCACAGGAAGAAGCTGAATATTTTTTTATAAGCAGAGAAAAAAAAAAAAAACCAAACCAATACTGTGACATTTGCTCTGTGACTTCCTGTATTTATTATGTGCTCATACCTAAGCATTGTCAGGATCATGTTCTTCCTCATTGGAGGGCGTTATGAAGTCGCTTTCTTTTTTTCCATTAGTTAAAAAAAATTCCCTTGGAGGAAGGGAATGACTCTTTTTATAATTCATACATAATAATTGTACATATGTATGGAGCACATGTGTTTTTTTGTTTGTTTGTTGGTTCGTTTTTTTGAGACGGAGTCTCGCTCTGTTGCCCAGGCTGGAGTGCAGTGGCATCATCTCGGCTCACTTGCAAGCTCCGCCTCCCGGGTTTATGCCATTCTACTGCCTCAGCCTCCCGAGTAACTGGGACTACAGGTGCCCGCCACCATACCCAGCTAATTTTTTGTATTTTTAGTAGAGACAGAGTTTCACCGTGTTAGGCAGGATGGTCTCGATCTCCTGACCTCGTGATCCACCCGCCTTGGCCTCCCAAAGTGCTGGGATTACAGGCATGAGCCACCGCACCCGGCCCGAGGACATGTATTTTGATACATGCATACAATGTGTCATGATCAATCCAAGTATTTAGGATATCCATCACTTTAAACATTTATCATTTCTTTGTGTTGGGTACATTTCAGATCTTCTCTTCTAGCTATTTTGAAATATACAATAAATGATTGTTAACTATAATCGCCCTACTGTGCTATAAGAACTAGATCTTATTCCTTCTATCTCACTGTATTTTTGTACCCATGAACCAACGTCTCTTCATCCCTTAAATGAAACATTCTTTTTTTTTTTTAAGACAGAGTCTTGCTCTATCACCTAGGCAGCAGTGCAGTGACACAATCTCGGCTCACTGCAGCTTCTACCTCCCGGGTTCAAGCGATTCTCCTGCCTCAACCTCCCAAGTAGCCTGGATTGCAGGGGCTTGCCACTATGCCTGGCTAATTTTTGATTTTTGTATTTTTAGTAGAGACAGGGTTTCTCCATGTTGGATAGGCTAGTCTTGAACTTCTGACTTCAGATGATCCGCCTGCCTTGGACTCCCAAGGTGCTAGGATTACAGGTGTGAGCCTGAAACATTCAAGATCTCAAGATACTGTACATTTAAAGCACCCCAATGTCCTCTCTTTCCACTTCCCATTCTGTCTGCTTATCTAACATGAAGAACATTGTATTAATCTGATTTTTAAGGATTTTTTGTCTGTTATGTGTTAAGTGTTTGTTTGGTACCCCAGTGAAAACATTCTGCATTGCAGACCAATGTGTGCTTCTTTCAGGGGCCTGGGATCATTGCATTCTTAGCCATTGTCACAAAATACATGGAGTCATATTTAAAATGTAAAGTTGTAACATACATATGTTTAAAATGGAAATGCAAAGCAAAAAGATGGATGTGCAATGTCATGTGTATTCAGTTCTCTGTACTTAGTAAATGTAACTGACTTGTCTGTTAGTGAACTACGGGTGCAAGGACACATCTCTGGCTACTTTGCATCTGTAATCCACAAAGATTCTGGGCAGCTGTATTATCACAGCTTGTTGTTTGTTTGTTTGTTTTTGCTGGCTAAAGGAAAATTTGTATTTTAATTATTTTTATGTACAGAAAACTCAACAGTGCACATTTAACCCAGGTTAGTGGCAAATTCTTTAGCCTTTGCCTTTTTGAGCTTGGTGATATGAGCCACAGACTTGGGACCCAGGACATTGCCACCCCAGTGACAGTGGATCTCATCGTATCTGTCATTGTAATTGGTCCTGATAGCTTCCACCAGCTTAGCCAAAGCGACTTTGTCTTCCGAGTTCACTTATGTGATGGCGACAGTGGTCCAGGTCTTCCTGTGGACTAGATGTCCCAGTCTTGCCTTCCCCTTGATAATGCAGTAAGGGACCCCCATTTTACAACACAGGGCAGACAAGAAGACAACCAGCTTGATGGGATCCGTGTTGTGTGCAATCACCACCAGCTGAGCCTTCTTGTTCTCCACCAAGGTGGTGACGGTGTTAACTCCTGCTGGAAGGACAGGTGGTCTCTTAGAGGAGATGTCCCCTTTGACCGCAGCTTCCTCGGCCTGGGCCGAGAGCCTCTGCTTCTTCTCTTGCTTTGTCTCTGGTCTGTACTTGTGGGCCAGCTTAAGCAGCTGAGTAGCTGTCTGGTGGTCCAGGGCCTGGGTGAGCTGGTTAATTGCAGGAGGCACTTTCAGCGACTTACAGAGGATGGCTCTCTGCTGATAGAGCGGGGCCATTTCACAAAGCGGGTGAGGTCTCTTTTGGGCTGGATGTCCTGTCCAATGTCAAAATTCTTAGGCCTTTTCTCAAACAGGGGATTCACCACTTTCTTGGCCTCCTGTTTTTCCACAACAGCAGGGGCCAGAGCCACCTTCTTTCCCTTGACCTTCTTTCCTTTTGGTATCTTGGGCAGTGGGAGGAGAGCCATAGCTTGCTTTAAATAAACTATGTGGTAACAATGAACAACAAGAATAGAAGAAACAATAGCTTGCCTGAGGTCACAGAGCCAGCAGATCTTATAGGTGGTGCATCATTTATATAAGGAATGTGTATCTAGAAGATATTGTTTGGCGTTGGCTAAGGGTGGAATGAATCATGTATGTAATAGATTATACAATTTACAGTAATGAGTGGACAGATTTACTTATGGGGCAGGTTATAATGTAGTGGGATGAGAATCTAGAACGTGCCTCCTAGGCAGTCATACAGATTGTGCATTTGGTAAGTCAGGTATGTCGTGGTTTGTGTATCTAATAGCTCTTCATCTGCAGGCTGTCCACCTAGTAGCTCTTGGATATAACGGGTCATGGCTGTGGCATGGTGTGGTTGATCCTGGTTGATCGTAGACCTTATTTAATTGAATCTAAGATGTCATCTATAGAAAAACGTATTGTTATTTTTGTTACCAGTGAAATTCTGACATGCCATTGATCACATTTCCCTTTAAGCAATGTGGAAGTGTGCCTCAGAGTGGATGAGGCCATGGATTGCTGGGTTGTGTGGGGAGTAGCTGTGCCTGTGGCCTGCCATAGGTGCCAGGCAGGTGGCAGAGGCCTGGGCTCGGCTCCTGGAGGCTCCTCCCGGAGCTGCCCTCCACTCTTACCCCTTAGTAAGAGTTTACTAAGGGGTAAACTCTTCTGTGTTTACCCCTTAGTCAGATCTTCCGTTTCTGTCCACCTCTGCACTGCCCCCAAGGCCGGTGGAGCCAGATCAGATATTCCTGGGGTAGGCATGGGAGGAACCCACTGGTATATGGTCTCTTTCAGCCCCTTATCAAATCTCAAAGTGTGGGTTGTGGGGGGCTGCCTCTTGCTCCCTGCCTCAGAGTCTTGTCCTGGCCAACAGAAAGCTGAGCCAGGATCATCTTTCCATTTTACAGAGGGAGAAATTGAAGCCCTGAGAAGAGACGATGGAAATAAAGTTATCGGAATAGTGACTGAGCCAGTTCCTAAACCCAGGTCTCCTGACACCAAATCTAGCCTCTCTTGTCCTCCACAATAGTTGCTCCTTCTCCCCTTTCCCTGCAGGATATAGCACTTCCCAGTCATCTCAGCTTCAGAGGTCAGATCAAGTGGGGAGAATAAAGCTAAGCAGGGCAGAGAAAGGGCTTCTAGCAGTGGGAAGAACATGGAGATGCCTCCTCAGAGCACTCAAACACATGCTCTGACTCCCGATTTGCTCACTCATTAATTCACCCACACATTCACTCATTCTCTCACTCGTTAATTCACCCACTCTTTAATTCTTTCACCCATTTGCTCATTCACTCACTCATTAATTCACCCACCCATTCACTTATTAATTTACCCACCCATTTACTCACTTACTCAGTAATTTACCCTCTCATTCATTCATTCACTCACTCAATTCATGCATTCAGTCACCTCACTCATTAATTCACCGTCTCTAATTCAATCACTCCTAATTCACCCACTCATTAATTCCCCCACACACTCACTCATTAATTGGTGCTCCCACTAATTCACCCACTCGTGCTCACAGGTGTCACCAAGTCCCTCCAACCTGCCCTTCCAGTCAGCAGCAGAGGACAGGCTCCCAGGCCTCCCAAGTCTCAGGCTTTCCTTCCTCTGCCCTCACTCTCTGCCTTCTACATCAAGACTTTACTTCCCCAGATTGATTGGCAGCCCTTGAAAATGTCTGCACAGAAGGCAATGAGGGCTGGAGGGAGTGAGAAGAACAGAGCGCACCATGAGCTTCAGACAGCCAGGACCAGCTGTGTAGTTTTCAGGGCCCCAACCAAAACAAAAATGCACAACCCCTTGTTCAAAAGTCATGATGGATTTTAAGTCATGATGAACCAGGCACCAGGACTTTCTAAGGGTTGGGCTGCCTGTGACTGCACTGGCGATACCCCCACCAAGCCCACTCTGAAGGTAGGAGACAGGTGGAGAGAAACGGGGATGGAAAGGGGGATACACAACAGGGAGAGGGAGGAGGAAGAGGATGGAGGTCTATGAGGCCCCATTTGGTGTGTGACTTATGCCATCTCATTTCCTTCTCAGACCACCCTTTGAGGCTGATTGTACATTTTACAGAGAAGGAAACTGAGGCTCAGAGACAGTCATTTACCCAAGGTCCCAGTTAGTAGATGGTAGGCGCCAGAATGTAAATCCAGGTATCTGCCTGCTCTGGGAGGGGGTGGGGGTGGGGGAAACAGGAGAATGTGACGGGAAAATCCGAGATGGAGTTGGCCTGGTCAGAAACACTGGGAGCTGTGGGAGATGGTGAGGGGCAGGGTGGGATCACAGGGAGCAGGAGCAGGGAATTGGAGGTGAGTCTGGCCCTCCCAAACTTCCAGTCCATTCTGCTCCCAGGGGAACCGGGAAACTGCAGGGGAATTGGAAGGGAGCTCCCAGAACAAGGATTCAGAAGATTGGCATCTGGGGCCTGGGATTTAGGTTTCTAAATCATGGGCCATGGGGCAGCCTTATCTCCGCAAGAGCATTGAGGGTAGAAGTCAATGATTTGGGAAGTTATTGAATTAGGGGATCTCGGAGGTAGGCTGTCAGTGCCTGATAGTATCAGTTAGAATTCCTGACTTGGGGTGACAATGGCTTGGAGGGGTGGGTGAGTCAAGGGTCAAATGAGTGCCCATGAGTCATGATGCCTGCCTTGTACAATTGATAACTGAACATCGGTGAGTTAGGGCCTCAACAGTTGTAATTAGCACCCCGGGTGTCAGCCAGAAACCAACAAACAGCCAAATCCCTGCAGCCCCGCCCTGCCTATCCACCGGCGGGGGACCGATTAACCATTAACCCCCACCCCTCCCCGGCAGAGCCTCCACCCCTTCACAGAGGCTAGGCCAAGACTCCCAGCAGATCTTCCCAGAGGACGGTTTGAAAGGAAGGCAGAGAGGGCACTGGGAGGAGGCAGTGGGAGGGCGGAGGGCGGGGGCCTTCCGGGTGGGCGCCCAGGGCAGGGCAGGTGGCCGCGGCGTGGAGGCAGGGAGAATGCGACTCTCCAAAACCCTCGTCGACATGGACATGGCCGACTATAGTGCTGCACTGGACCCAGCCTACACCACCCTGGAATTTGAGAATGTGCAGGTGTTGACGATGGGCAACGGTAGGTGGGGGCAGGTGTGTCAGTGGGGGCAGGTGTGCCTGGGTCCAGGAACAGATCTTTGGCACTCAACTTGGGGGTGGGAGGAGAATGATAGAAAATGGTAGGTTGGTCCTGCAGGCCAGCACAGGTGTTGCCAGGTGAAGCCCATGTGCCCAGGTGCAGTGATCACGGGCATTCCGGGGGAAGGGAGGCCTGCAAGGGCCAATTTCCAGCAAAAGTCGATCCCGGCTATTCCTCCCAGGCCCTTCCATTCCTCACTGCCTCACAGCGGCTCCGCTTGGCGCTTGGCGCAGTGACGTGATGGTGAGCTCCCCCTTGGTGCCCAGCTCCAGCAATTCAGCCCAGCACGGCCACTTTGTGAACCCCTTGGGCCTAGGTTCAGAGAGACAGCAAGGGACATTGTATCCCTGGAGATGGTGGTTGGAGACATAACTGCATTTCTTGGTGTCTTTGGGACTTTCCTAGGGAAAATGGAGTTCTCAGGGAAGTCTTGCTAACTACAAAGCCAACTCAGCACTGTGTGTGTGGTGTGTGCGTTCGTGTGTGATGGTGAGTTTCCATGTAGGTTGTATGGGTGGGGTGATGCCTTCAGGAACACATTTGCATATGTGTGTTCATTTGTCTCTGTGTGTGAGTTCTGGGTCTATTTTCCTTTGTATTCATTGAGTGGGTCTGTGTTTGTGTCTCTAGGAGGTGCCCGTGTTGATCTTGCTTATGCATTGTAAGTGACTATGTGTGTGTATGTGTGTCTGTGGATGTTGGTACATGTGTGCTGTGTGTGCAGGTCATAGAGCACATGTGTTTGTGCATGTAGACCTGTTGGAGTGCCCTGTTCTTCCTGCATCTTTATCCTGTGTGGGCGTTTTGTCGTGTGCCCATATTTGTACCTGCTGTGTACATATGCAGTCCCCCGTACTGCGGGCGGGGGTCAGCGGTCTCTGGTGTGCCCACATTTATACCTGCTGTGTACACACACAGTCCCCCGTACTGCGGGCGGGGGTCAGCGGTCTGTGGTGTGCCCATATGTGTGCCTGTGTACACACATAGTCCCCCATACTGCGGGCGGGGGTCAGCGGTCTGTGGTGTGCCCAGCGGTCTGTGGTGTGCCCATGTGTACCTGTGTACATATGCAGTCCCCCGTACTGCGGGCGGGGTCAGCGGTCTCTGGTGTGCCCGATTGCACAGACCCAAGTGCAGGACTCTGTTGCTGCCATTCACCAAGTGAGATTCACATCAGCAACATGTCTGTTTGTCTCTGAGCAGATTTTGTTGCGGGCGTGTCTCTGCAGATTTAGGCATCCCTCCGACATCTCCGGAGCATATCTGGAGGGGCGGGCAGTTCTCCTCCCCAGGGAGGTAGGGGAAAAGAGGAGGCCTGGAAACCCCTCCTGGAGGGAAGGGCGCCATCGGTCCCAGGCCAGCCTCAGAGGAGAGGGGGCAGCAGCTGGCTGAGGTCAGCCTGCCACCCCACTTCCTTGTGTGTCTTGGAGCCACACAGCCAGTATCAGGCTGTAGCTCCAGCTGAGGCCTGGAAGCTTGTGGTCAGCTCAGCTAGAGCGAGGAGGCAGCCGCTGGGCACTGCCTGTTGTCAGCTCAGCAGGTGCTCACCTGCCCCTGCTATCCAATCACTGTGTGACCTTGGGCATGTCACCTCCCCTCTCCTGGCTTCTGTATCTTCTACAAAACAGGCTTCACTCCTCCAGGCCTGCTGGCTGGCCGACTTTTAGGCCTGAGGACCATGCGAGGCGAAAACACACCAGAGATAGCAAACAAGTTGAAGCTGTACGAGGTGGAGTGTCGCATGGCCCCACGAGGACCGCTGCCCTGCCCCGGGCTGCTCCCCGACCCCATCACCTTTTCAAAGCCCAGGAACTGTGTGCTCCTGAGGCAGAGGCCAAGCCCCTGAACTGGATGTCCCAAAGACAAGATCACCTCCAGCTCTGGAACCAGAAAGATCTGGGCGCAAATCCAGCATAGATCCTTCCAACCCGTGTGAACGTGGCAAGGCAGTTTCCTCTCTGAGCCTGTTTCCTCATCTATAAAATGGGAATAAATAATAGTGTCTGCCTCCCAGCACTGGCCAGAGGATAAATAAAACAAGGTGCCTCGGTGCTTAGCCCTGGTAAAGGGCCTGGCCCCAACATGGGTTGTGTCAAGGGCTCTGAGCATCTGTAAGCAGGGTTCCCACGTTCCTCACTGGAGTTGGAAGTGGTCTGAATTGGGGTTATGTGAAGTTGTCCTCTGAAGTGTTTTGAATACATCCTGGGCTGGTGGCTCAAAGGCTCCAAGGATATTTCTTCCCCGTCCACTCCCCACCCCAATGCAGCGGCAGCCCCAGGGGGCTCCTTGTTCATTAGAGGCCCCAGCAGACACCTCAACATGTGCGGCACTGGCCGGAGTAGCCCAGCAAACCTGGACCATAAACCCGTGGCTCTGCTTCACAGCAAGCAGTGCGATGACATCAGGAAGCCACTTGTCCTCTCTAAGCCTCAGCGTCCTCACCTGCAGAATGGAGGTGCTCGGCTGACCTCAGAGGGGAGATGATAGAGCTGACAGCCCCCAGCCCATCCTGCCCCAGAGCTGGGAGCTACTTCCCCAGCCTCCTACTGAATGACCAGGAGCTGTGGGGTCAGTCTCCCCCGGGGTCGAGGGAGGAGAGGCCGAGGGAGAAAGGGCACCCATGTGGCTTAACAATTATCCCCATCTCCAGGAATAATTCACCAAGTCCTGGGGACACCTGGGAGTCTGTGAGGGCAGAAATGAGATGCGGCAGTGTCTGCTTGTGACAGAGCCTGGAAGTCCTCTGCTCTGAGAGTTTTCCTATGCAGAAAAGTTTTTATTTCACGAACACTGATATAGTGCTTACTATGCACCAAGCACTTCACATACACAAATGAGTATTCACCAGGTCCCCATAACAAACCTAGGGGAATATCACATTCCCCATGTTACAAATGAGGAAACAAAAGCATAGAGAAGTAAACAAACACAGCCAGCATCACATGGCTAAAAAGTGGGCAAGCAGGGACTGAATCCTGGGCAGAAGGACTTCAGAGGCTGTGCTGTTACCTACAGCACGTGGCCCTCTCTGGGTCTAACTGGATGCCTCTGAGGAATCCAAGGTCGGATTCAGGATTTCTATGAATACACGCGTGTGTGTGTGTGCATGTTTGTATGTGTCTGTATGTATGCTAGTGCATGTGTGTATGTGTGTGTGGACTATGTGTATGTGTATGTATATGTGTGGACTGTATGTGTGTGTGCACACGTTTATGTAGGTGTGTGCTATGTGTGTATGTGTCCGTGTGTGTGCATGTGTATGGACTGTGCATGTGTGTGCATGCATGTGTTATGTGTGTGGACTGTGTGTGCATATGTGTGTGCACATCTGTGTGTGCATGTGTGGACTGTGTGTATGTGTGTGTGCACTGTGTGTGTGTGGACTATGTGTGCATATGTGTGAACTGTGTGTGTATGTTCATGTGTGTGGAGTGTATGTGTACACATGAGTATATATGTGTGTGTTGATGTGTGTGTGTGTGAATTGTGTGTGTGTGTATGTGTAGACTGTGTGTGTGTATGTTCATGTGTGGACTGTATGTATGTGCGTGTGTGTGTGCGTGTGTGTGTGACTGTGGTGTGTGTGTGTGCCTGTGTGGACTGTTGTGCATGTCTGTGCATGTGTGGACTGTGTGGTGTGTGCATGTGTGTGTGGACTGTGTGGTGCATGTGTATGTGTTTGTGTGTGGACTGTGTGGTGTGTGTCAACTGTTTGATGTGTGTGTGCATGTGTGTGTGACTGTGTGGTGTGTGTCTGCATGTGTGTGGGCTGTGTGGTGCGTGTGTGTGCTTATGTTTGGTGTGTGTGGACTGTGTGGTCTGTGTGTGTGTGCATGTGTGTGTGGACTATGGTGTGTGTGGACTGTGGCGTGTGTGCACGCATGTATGTGCGTGTCTGTGTGGTGTGTGTGCGTGTGTGGGCCATGTATGTGCTTGTGCATGGCATGTGTGCATGTGTATGGACTGTGTGATGCGTGTGTGTGTGGACTGTGTAGTGCGTGTGTGTGCTTGTGTGTGGTGTGTATACGTGTGGACTCTGTGGTGCATGTGTGTGTGCTTGTGTGTGGTGTGTATACGTGTGGACTCTGGTGCATGTGTGTGTGCTTGTGTGTGGTGTGTATACGTGTGGACTCTGTGGTGCATGTGTGTGTGCTTGTGTGTGGACTGTGTGGTGTGGGTGGACTGTGGTGTGTGTGCGCACGTGTGTGCATGTCTGGTGCCTGTGTGCTTATGTGTGGCGTGTGTGCATTTGTGTGGACTGTGTGGTGTGTGTTTGCTTGTGTGTAGCGTGTGTGTGTGTGGACTGTGTGGTGCATGTGTGGGTGTGTGTGTGGACTGTGTAGTACGCATGTGTGTGCTTGTGTGTGACGTGTGTGCTTGTGTGTGGACTGTGTGGTGTGTGTGTGTGTGTGAACTGTGTAGTGCATGTGTGTGTGCTTGTGTGTGGCGTGTGGTGTGTGCGTGTGTGGACTGTGTGGTGCGTGTGTGTGTGCTTATGTGTGGCATGTGGTGTGTGCATGTGTGGACTGTATGGTGCGTGTGTGTGTGCTTGTGTGTGTGGTGTGTGCATGTGTGGACTGTGTGGTGCATGTGTGTGTGCTTGTGTGTGGCATGTGTGCGTGTGTGTGGACTGTATAGTGTGTGTGTGTGCTTGTGTGTGGCATGTGTGGACTGTGTGGTGCGTATGTGTGTGCTTGTGTGTGGCATGTGTGCATGTGTGTGGACTGTGTGGTGCATGTGTGTGTGCTTGTGTGGCGTGTGTGTGTGTGGACTGTGTGGTGCGTGTGTGTGTGCTTGTGTGTGGCGTGTGTGTGTGGACTGTGTGGTGCGTGTGTGTGTGCTTGTGTGTGGCGTGTGTGCGTGTGTGGACTGTGTGGTGCGTGTGTTGTGCTTGTGTGTGGCGTGTGTGCGTGTGTGGACTGTGTGGTGCGTGTGTTGTGCTTGTGTGTGGCGTGTGTGCGTGTGTGGACTGTGTGGTGCGTGTGTGTGCTTATGTGTGGCGTGTGTGCATGTGTGTGGACTGTGTGGTGCATGTGTGAGTGCTTGTGTGTGGCGTGTGTGCATGTGTGTGGACTGTGTGGCACACACGCTTGCATTTTCCCGGGGGCTGATCCATTGCATTTGTCATCTTCTCCAAAGGGGTCTATCTTTGCTGAAAGATTTGCTGACCAAAAAACAAAGGGTCGGGGGGAGTTCAGCTGCTGATATTTTTTTAAATTTGGAAACAATCAGACCAGTCAAACTGCTCCCTTTTATGGTTAGAGAAACTGAGGCCCAGAAGAAATTGAAGCAAGAAAAAGGAAGTTGCCCAAGTTTACAGGCGAGGTAGTGGCAGCATCAGCACTAATGCCCAGGACTCCTGGCCCCCAGCCCCAGATCCTCTTTCCACCTGCCTCTATGGCCCTCCTCACATTTGTGTAGATGCATAGCTTTTGCCTGTGGGAGAGGAGGGATGGGAGACGTGTCCAGACCCTCCTCGGAGGCCACATGAGTGGGACTGTTCTCGGCCCAAGTCTTTCCCGTTCTTCACAGAATTTGCGGGGCCCCTGGGCACGCAAGCTGAGATCCACCCAGCCCTGGTCCCTTGGTGAGAACTGAGGGACAGGACCCGGTTCTGGGGAGAGATTGCAGGGGAATGTTCCTCCCTTCCACAGCCCCCCTGCCAGTTAGGAGGCAGGCTCCCACCCCAGAAGGTGGCCAGGTTTTCATGCCTTCCTAGAGAAAGCTGGGGCTCATGGCCTCCACCACAGGGAGATGCAGACCCTCAGACACAACTCTGTGAAGTCACAACCAGCCCCAATTTACAGATGTGAAACTGAAGCTCCAAAAAGTCGGGAGGTCACTGAGCGGGGAGGTGATGGAGTGGGAACAGCTCCCAGATCTGGCTGAGGCCGAAGCCCTGGAGAGATCCCCGCAAAGCTCTCTTAGATGTCTGACTTTCTGTTCTTCCTGAAGCCTCACTCCCTTCTCTCCTGGTGCAGACACATCCCCGTCAGAAGGCACCAACCTCAACGCGCCCAACAGCCTGGGTGTCAGTGCCCTGTGTGCCATCTGTGGGGACCGGGCCACGGGCAAACACTACGGCGCCTCGAGCTGTGACGGCTGCAAGGGCTTCTTCCGGAGGAGTGTGCGGAAGAACCACATGTACTCCTGCAGGTGAGGAGCCTCAATTTCTCCAGCTGGGAAATGGGCACACTTGGGCTCATGGCCCCAAGGTCTGTCTTCTCCCTGAGTGGGTGGGTCCCAGAGACAGCTGCCCTTCAGGGCCTTCACGGCTCTTCTGGTTTTGTAGGCTTTGTGAATCCAAGATGAGCATCTATTCTAGGAACCACATTTACTGATCATCAAGCTACTGGCTGCCGTTTATTGAGCTCTTATCATACGCCAGGCACCATACTAAGTCTTCGTGTGTATTTAATCATCCCCTGGAGCCCATTGTTCTTTTTCCCATTCCATGAGGCCTCTTCTGAAGTCTCAGTAGATGAGCCCGTCTTCCACTCTGGTGTTTTTTCGGGGACAAATAAGAGATTGACCCCAGGCCACTCCACCGACCCCAGGCCATTCCACTTACCCCAAGGGCTTCCACCAAACCCTAAGTCTTCTCAAGGCCTTGGAGAGCCCTCTTTCGAAAGCATCTCCTGTTCTGGGTAACGACAATAATAAAATCATAGCAGCTGTCAATCGTGAGCATTTGTCATGTACAGAGACTGTGCCCATCAGTGCATGACTTCATTTCACCTGTCAACACCCTGTGAGATGGTTACTGTTGTTATTCCCGTTTTATAGAGGAGGAAGCTGTGGCGTGGAGCGCTAGGCATTTGCCCAAGGTCAACCAGCTTGAATCAATGGCAGAGCCAGGTTTAATATTCAGGACCCCACCCATCACCACTGTGTGGCACTGCCTCTACTTCCTATCCGCCTCCAGAGAGAGGCTTATGTGAACCAAGTATTAACTCTGAGCCATAACCAGGAGCCTGCTCTGGGTTCTGGGCTTTTATAGGATGTGATGGAAATAGCAAGGCTCTGGTACTCAAGAGGTCGAGGTTCCCAACTCAGCTCTAACACCAACCAGCAGAGCGACCCATGACCACATGTTGCCTCTCTGAGCCTCAGTTTCCCCATGTTTAGCAGGACAGGACTGGGCTCTTAGAGAGTTCATAGCACCTCTCCGGCTCGTGGTGGGCTCAAGAGAGAACTCCTGGGATGAAGAGATGAGAGCACTGAGGCTGGGGGGTCAACTGGATAGCCAGGGCCCTAGTTCTGTCCTTAGAGGAGGAAGTTGTGTCTTCTCCATCCAACCATCCAAAGCCCTCCCCAGATTTAGCCGGCAGTGCGTGGTGGACAAAGACAAGAGGAACCAGTGCCGCTACTGCAGGCTCAAGAAATGCTTCCGGGCTGGCATGAAGAAGGAAGGTGAGCCTCGGCCCTCCCCGCCCCCCCACCACTGCCCCACCTGCACCCACATCTCCCCGACAGTCATTTACAACTGTAGCCACACTTTATGACTCAGTGGCAGGCCCCAGGGTGACTGGCTAATGGCTGAGAAGAGGGAGGGCCGGGAAATCTGACCATAGGGAGCGGCTGGGCTTGGTCTTGAGAAAGATTCAGAGAGATAAGCTCCTACCCTTGGCTCCTCAGGCTCCCAGCAACCACCACCCCTGCCTGCCTGTCTGTGCCACCACAAAGCAGCCACATTGTGTGTGTGTGTGTGTGTGTTTTAATATAATATTTTGAACATTAGGACATTGCAAACATCTGAGTACTCACTACCCCAGCTTTACAAAGGGGATAGCCTGGGGTACCCGATGCCTGAGCTTCCTGTCCCAGGGACAAATGCCCCAATTCCCTTAGTATTCATTTGTGGGTGTCAGGTGATCTCCAAAGTCTTCACATTCTAGAAAATGGGAACAAGACCCCAGTCCCATCCTGGACGAAGGAGGAGGAGAAGACCACAGCACAATATTTATTAAGGTCTTGCCAGGCCTCCTGCTACCAGCAGGTATCAGTCACTGGGCTGGCCTTTTTCCACACTTCAGTGGGCTGGGTTCATTTCATCTTCATGACAACCCTGTGTGGGAAAATGTCATGAAAATGAAAGGAGACCAGCCCATTGAACCTATTACAATTCCTCCCTTTTTGTGGATGCAGGAACTGAGGCCCACAATGGTTAAGCAACTTGCCTAGGGCCCTACAACTGCTCCTTGGAAGACCTGAGGTCCCAGAGCTTCTGTTTTTGGGACCACACTTCAGCACTGTCTCTTATTTTATGCCCTCCAGATCCCAGGGACGTTTAAAATTGTTTTCAGCCCAAGCAAGGGAAGCAAAAATCTTTTAACTGCTTTAAAGTAACTTGAGGCCAGGCGCAGTGGCTCATGCCTGTAATCCCAGCACTTTGGGAGGCCGAGGCAGGCAAATCATTTGAGGTCAGGAGTTCGAGACCACCATGGTAAAACCCCATCTCTACTAAAAATACAAAAAAATTAGCTGGGCGTGGTGGCACATGCCTGTAGTCCCAGCTATTCGGGAGTCTGAGGCAGGAGAATCGCTTGAACCCAGGAGGCGGCGGTTGCAGTGAGCCGAGATCATGCCACTGCATTCCAGACTGGGCAAGGCAGCGAGACTCTCTCGCGAAAAATAAAAAAGTAACTTGAGTTCATTTTCGAATCTCTTCATTCCCTGCTCCTCTAAAGTCAACTTTTCCCAGCTCTGCAACTAGTCTCAGACCTTCCCTTCTAGTCCACAGTTGGGCCGCACCAGCCAAACCTTGGTCTAGTCCTGCTAGTTCTGTAGAAACACCCCTCACCCCCACCACCCAAGCACACCCCAGAAGCAGGAATGTAGGACCCAGCTTGCTCCAGGGCCCACTGAGAAGGAGGGGAGGGGAGGCTTTGGTAGACGCTGTTTCCCCTGTATCTGCTCCTGGCTCCCTGTTTTCTCTGCCCCCTCCCTTGGAAATATCTTCTATGTCTCATCCTTATGGGGCCTTAGTTTGAACTCACGAGCTGTCTTGGAAAATCTGGGCTTGTTGACCCCGATGCAGGAGTGGGTGGTCCCCAAGGCCTGCTCTAAACACTACAATTCTAACATCTAGACCTCAGTGGTTCTCTAAGGGCAAGAGGGGCTTTTTCAAGCTGCAGACACTCCCTCATCTCCCAAACCCGGTTTTCAATGGGGTTGAGCCTGTCCCATCCACTTCAGCTTCCATTCTGTGGACCGAGAAAGGTTATGAATGGGAACCTGATGCACGTGTGAACAGCTGGAGGCAAGAAAAAGATTGAGGAGTACAGACTGAGGTTCCAACATTCCCGTGGTTATATTAGTCAGTGATTCCATTATCCCAAAAGCCTAAGATTTTAGGCACTACGATTGCTCCTAGGTGTCATCCAGAGGGCACTGCGTTTGAGAGAACATCTCTGTCACAGTGAAAGCTCAGGTCTGTGACAGGCAGAAGGGAGAGGGGTTGGCAGCCCTCCTGAGTGGATGGTCCTGCGTGTGGTCAGTTGTTATAAATGTCTCTTATTAGACATCCAGAGTCATTTTCACTTGTGTAATTTAGGGACGTTTCTGTCCCTTCTGGCCTCTAGTTTTCCCATCTATAAAATGAGGACATTGGATAATGAACGCTTCAGCCCTATGAGTCTCGCTCCTCACTCCCTGACCTACCTGCACAAGTCACACTGCCCACTTGGATGGGTGTGTTTGTTCCCTGGTCCCCTTTTTTTTTTTTTTTTTTTTAGTTGGAATTTTGCTCTTGTTGCCCAGGCTGGAGTAAAATGGCAAGATCTCGGCTCACGGCAACCTACACCTCCTAGGTTCAAGTGATTCTGCTGCCTCAGGCTCCCAAGTAGCTGGGATTACAGGCGTGTGCCACCACACCTGGCTAATTTTGTATTTTGAGTAGAGATGGGGTTTCACCATATTGGCCAGGCTGCTTTTGAACCCCTGACCTCAGGTGATCTGCCTCGGCCTCCCAAAGTGCTGGGATTACAGCCGTGAGCCACCGCGCCCGGCCCCTGGCCCTCTCTTGAGCTGCTGCAAAGCCAGCAAACCCCTTACTAGGCTGCTGGAAAGGGGGTGAGAGCCCCAGACCATTCAGCCTTAGCTCAGCCTTGAAAATAGCTGCTTGCTTCCTGGCCCAGGGAAACGGACATGCTGCCCGGAGGATAGGAGAGTTGGCTGATGGCAAGTGAGCATGGGTTAGTCGATGCTGATGCTTGTTTACATGCCTGGGTTACCTGGAAGTTCATGACACATGCAGTCACTTGGTTGTTTTGAGAACAGGCCAGAGTGACAAAGTGTTCAGTTGTCACTGTGGTCAAGCTGTAGGAAATGAGAGTATTCCTAGCTGTGCCTAAGTCTTCTAGGCCCCACCAACCCCCCTCAGCCTGCCGGGAAGCTCCCAAAGCCCAAAGAAAGTCTCGGTGGAAGTCTCACTGGCCCGGAGAGTTGGGACAAGTTTTCATTCTTTTTCTTGATGACCTTAGGAGAATTTGAGGACTGAAATCCAAAATAGTCCCTGAGAACCAGAAAGTGTGAACTGGGAAGGTGGGATTTCGAGACCATCTGAGTTTATAAGAGGGCACCAAACCTACCCTCTCCCCACTTTACAGAAGAGGACACTGAGGCTAGAGAGGTGATGTGATGGGTCAGGGCTGGAGTCAGGTCTAGAACTCAGGCTCCCCAGAGCTGAGCAGACGCCACGCTCCCTGGAGTGAAACTTGCAGTGATCCGTTTGGGAGGCACATTTCTTGATCTAGACGGCTGAAACTTTCTCTCGACCACAGAGAGGGGCTTCAGGTCTCATGGGCCTGTAAGTCTCCGCCAGAGGATAGTCCACCGTGGCCGGAACGGGCTCCCTGGAGGGACAAAGAATCCAGGGAGAACCCTGGGGGTCAATGGGCCAACAGCAGGCCAAGAATTCTTTCCTGTAACCCAAAGCCAGGGAGACAGACACCTGCCTGAGCCTCCACTGTCAGGCCCGGGACAAATATCCGGCTCCTGGCATCAAAAACCCAGCCCAGAAAGCAGACCCAGGGTTGCAGGAGGTGAGCGTTGGTGATGGGCCGGGGGCCATCTGATGGAACCTTCCTCGGAAGCCACGGCCCTGCTCCCCACGGCCCCCTACCCAGGAGTTCTCTGGGAAGACAGGCTCATCACCTCTCCGCCTCTGCCCAGGTCGGTTAATATTCAATAGAAGTTACATTAGGTCCCCGACCCTGCTAATACTGAGCAAACATTTGGAAAACATCATTCCGTGACTGAGCTCGCGCCGGGCACTGATAACGCCCGCCTAACCTTGAGGAGCCCTAGCCGCAGCTGCTGACAGCAGCCCTTTCATTCGGCCCGCCGGCCACTTGGCGCCCTGGTGGGTGGGTGCGGGCGCTGGCAGGAGGCTGCCGTGGGAGGGGTGTGGGCAGGTGGGGCGGACGGCCCGGGCAGGGAAACCGTGCTCTGAGCTGGCCCTGTCCACGTGGTGGGTCTGAGAGGAGGCTGTGCTTCTGGACTTCTGTTCCATCCACTGACTCCCGGGCTCAATGCAGAGGATTTGACTTTTATTCTCTGATTTTAACAGTGTGTCAACATCAAGAGAAAGTCGAACAGCTAGGGTGTCAATGTTCCCTGGAGAAATAGGGTTCTTATAAGAATTAGAGTTTATGACCAGGCGTGGTGCCTCACACCTGTAATCCCAGCATTTTGTGAGGTTGAGTGGATCACTTAAAACCAGGAGTTTGAGACCAGCCTAGGCAACATAACGAGACCCCATCTCTCAAAAAAAAAAAAAAAAAAAAAAAAAGCCAGGCATGGTGACACATGCCTGTAATCCCAGCTATTCGGGAGGCTGAGGCAGGAGGATCACTTGAGCCCAGCAGGTTGAGGCTGCTGTGAGCTATGATTGCGCCACTGCACTCCAGCCTGAGCAACAGAATTAGACCCTGTCTCAAAAACAAAAAGAGAAAAAGAAAAAGAATTAGAGCTTGTCTCCTCCAGCACCTTATTTCTCTCACTTCACAAATATTTATTGAGCACCTACTGTGTACCACGCTCTGTTCTGGTGGCTGGGATGACAGCAGTGACAGCAGGGTTGGAGTTTTGGCCTTCTGAAGCTTCCTTCTCAGAGATAGACAGATAGTAAAGGAAGTAACAAATAATTCTACAATAAGTGCCCTGAAGAAAAATAAAGCAGGGTAGGGCAGGGCCAGGGTCGGGGGCATGCTGTGTGAGACAGGGTGGCTGGAGAGGGTGTCTGAAAGGCAACATTTGTGCAGAGGCAGGAGTGAAATGAAGATGCTGCGCTGTGCGGGAAAGGGAACGCCAGGCAGTGGCCACAGCAGCCCTCAAGTGTGCGGATGCATCCAGGCGGGGAGGCGGGTTTTCGGGGACAGAGTGAGTAGTGGGACGCCGCTAAAAGGTGCGATCAGAGAGGAGAGGAAGGGCCGTAGGGACTTGTGAGGTTGGAAGGCACTTGTTTTGAGCAGTAGGGGACACGACTTGAACAGATCCCTCTGTGAGAGGACTATAGACTGCAGGCACGAGGAAGAAGCAGAGCCCAGGAGGAGGCTGAGAGAGAGAACCAACCTGCCAGTCCCTGAGACGAGAAAGTGCAGGGAGCTGGCTGGCAGGGAGATGCCTACAGGTAGGGAAACTGAGCCCCAGAGAGAGGCTGCGATTGCCACCAGCACACAGAGTGGCAGGTTCCAGACAGGAAGCCGGGTCTCGTGCAGCTTCATCATCTCTCCTTTCCGAATCAGCCAAGCCTCATTCCACAGTGAGGCCTCTTGGACTCTAAGGGCTATTCCATCCACTGTCAGGCCAGTGAAAGGACCATCTTCTATCTCAGGCCAACACTGACCCAGATGGGGGCGGGCAGTGGAGCCTGGGGCCCCAGTGGGCTGAGGCTCCAGATCCCTCAGTGCCTGGAACAGAACAGCAGTGGGAGGGAGGGAGGGAGACAGCGCCTGGCCTTGCTGACACTGAGGTTAGTCTGGAGTACATGCAGCTCCTGATGATGTACAAAACCATCAAGGCAGTTGGAGCCCCCAGATCCCCTTGTTCAGGAATCTCCAGGCCATCTCCGTGTCACCCAGAGTAATTTGTTTTGCTTGCTTTACTCACTTTGATTTGGAAAGAAAGGGACCCTTTTGTAGACCGGAGCCTGAACATGTTTAATCTAGTCAAACCCCATCCTCAATGCTCAAGACCCATTTTAAGCCCATAGCTGAGTCATCACTGTCTTGCACGCCCCTAATGATGAGTGGATCACTCCTATAGCCTCTCCATTGTGTGGGGGGCAGTTCTGATCTGTGGAAAGTTCTTCCAGCAGCTGAGTTAGAGGCCATCTCCCCTCAATCCACATGCTGATGTGGGCCTGTTCTCTGGATGCCCCCCACCTCCTGCTCCCACTCCTCATCAGTCACAGACACTCCCACCCCCTCACTCCATCGCTGCTCTCCCTCCTCACCTCTCTCTGCCTCCTCACAGCCGTCCAAAATGAGCGAGACCGGATCAGCACTCGAAGGTCAAGCTATGAGGACAGCAGCCTGCCCTCCATCAATGCGCTCCTGCAGGCAGAGGTCCTGTCCCGACAGGTACCGGGGTGACCCTGCCACTCACCCAGGGGTCCCCCACACTACAGAGGAGCTCACCTCCTCCACCTCCATTCTCCCCAGCCAGGCCCTGGAGCAGCTGATGGGAGGGGCCTCAGATATTACAGAGGGATACTGAGTCCGGTGTCACATGGCCCAGTTAGCAGCAAGGGCAGAACTCGAACCTGGTGCCCTGGGGCACGTTCTGATTCATCCTACTGCCTGCATCCCACAGGCCAAGCAGAGTCTTTACCTTCACTGAGGGCCTGCAATCAGCTCAGCCCTGAGAGAACAAAGCAGTGGTTCAGTGGACAGAGGTGGCAACGTGGGGCCCAGCCCATCCCTTACTGAGTGACCTTGGGCAAGTCACAGCACCTCTATGAGCCATGGTTGCCTCACTGTCACATAAGGATGATGATTTTTTTCCCTGCTTCTCCTCTAAGGCTGAGAGACTGCTTGGCGCTCTAAAGCTGATAGAGGAGGAGGCAAGGGGCAGGTAACAGGTGAAGGCCAAGAGGGAGCCCTTCTCCCTCATCCCTGCCTCCTCCCTCCCTCCGTTTTTACCCTGAGCTTCCTTTAGAGCTGGAAGGCACCCACTATGCAGCCCCCTCCTCACATCTGATTCCAGGGAGGGGGCTCTGTGCAGGGGACAGAGAGTGCAGGAGGGCCCGGACATCTCCAGCATTTTCTTCCCTGTATCTCTTGAAGATCACCTCCCCCGTTTCCGGGATCAATGGCGACATTCGGGCGAAGAAGATCGCCAGTATCGCAGACGTATGTGAGTCCATGAAGGAGCAGCTGCTGGTTCTCGTCGAGTGGGCCAAGTACATCCCGGCTTTCTGCGAGCTCCCCCTGGACGACCAGGTAAGGATGGGCGTGGATGATGGGCAGTAGTGGGCACCCGGCAGGGCAGCCAGGGGGCTGCTGGCCCATCTGGGATATAGCCATGGACTGGCTTGATTTTATTTTATTTAACAAAATGCGTAGTGCACACATGTGTCTGAAACTTTAAATCACCTTACAAATATTAACTCAGCTCCTCCAACAACTCTATGAGGTAGGTACTAAGGTTCTATTATTACTGCCATCTCATAGGTGAGGAAATTGGGGCACAGAGAGGTTAAGTAACCTGCTCAAGGTCACATAGCTACTATCCAGCACAGCTGGGATTAGAACCTAGTAGGGAAGCTCCAAAGTCCAAGCTCCTAACCATCGTACCCGTGGCTCTCCCAGGGGGATGTTGACAGGGATCCTGGGACAGGGATCAGGAGATTTTGACTTAAGCTCTGGCTCTAATACTGGTTGTCTGCCTAATCCTGGGCAAATGATTTCCTCTCTCTGAGCCTCAGTGTTCTCTTATCTGTAAAGTGGAAATGATAATATCCACTTTAGAGTGTGGTTGGGAGGACTGAGGACATTACTGTCTGAAAAGCGCAAAACTCGGGTGATGGAGCAAGCGGCGCAGTGGCGGGACCAGAGCTCGTCTCCCTAAATGTTAGTTTCTTCCTTCTTTCCCACCAAAACAGTTGAACTCAGCATCGTATTTCCCACCGTACTTTTTTTTTTTTTTTTTGGAATACTAAAATGTCCCTGGGGGAAGAAAGGGTTGAAGGAAGGTGGCGTGTGTCTGAGAACAGATGAATTTCGGAGATGCCACCTATGAAGCTCCTGCCCAGAGCACCCCTGGGCCTCCAAAGAGGTGTTCCCCATCTAGGGAAGAGGAGCTGGGCTGGGCCACCTCCCCACCTTTGGAGACAGCCTCTGGTGCATTCACTTACCTGTTTCACACCTTTGCATAAGACACCAACAATGCATGTGAGTCTGTGAAAACTTCTGAGAAGTTGACTTCTCAGAGGCCAACGCTTCCCAAACTCCTTCGGCCCCAAGATTCTCCTGGAACACCTGTTAATACTACATATAGGGACACTGTGAAAATGCTGGTTTGGCTGGTCCCCAGCCTCACACAGGGGCTGGACCCAGGGTCCTCTTCCATGGTTCCTCCCTCCATTAGCAGAGTCAATAGGGCAAGGATCTTGGACAATCTGCCCCTACCCTCTCCCCTGCTCCTTGTGCTCTGGCCCCAGTCCCCTCTGCTGGAGTCTCTACATTAATGTTTAATCCCTCCTGTTCCTTCCCAGGGGCTTAGCAGGGCAACAAGATACCCCCAACCTGAGCAATTGTTAACCTCGATTTCCCACCCAAACCTCCCTGGCTGGGGCTCAGAGCATTCTCAGAGAGCAATGATGGGTGGCCAATAACAGAGGACAATCATTAACACACCACCCGACCTCCCGGCCCACCCCCCAGAACAGCTGCCATATCAGGGGGTTGAACCTGGGATCAGAAGAGCTCCCAGCTCCCCATTCCTGGTGTATGAGGAGCCCAGCTTGCCCAGTGCAGGTGGGGCATCCCTGGGAAAATCGGGGGCATTGTCCTCCAAAGGGCATTCCAATTCTGTTGACATTGCCCCAGAAACTAGATTCCCCGTTGGTGTGCTTCTTGGGCCTGGATACAACTGGAGAAAGAGACTGGGGCTTAGAGAGAGACAGCAATTTGCCTGAAGTCAGAGCAAGTTAGCCACAGAACTGGGATTCAAATCCAGGTGTTCTGCTTCGTGGTGTGAAGGCCACTGGGGTGACTGATGAAAGGCTTGCACAGTGCCCGGCGCGCAGGAGGCACTCAGCAATCAGCAGCCTCGGCCTCCCTCCATACTGGTCATGGAAAGTGGATTTCCCCTCCCAGGCAGTTTCCTCTTTTTCTGTTTTCGTCACAAGATTCTATCCATGGGGAATAGAAGTGGCAAGGACAAGTGGCTGCCCAGGAGCAGCTAGAGCTAGAGAAGAAGTCAAGATGTTTGCTCATTCATTCATTCATTCATTTCCCCTTTCCTTCCTTCCTTCATTCAAATATTTATTGAAGGCTTATTTTGTGCCAAATACCTTCAGGCAAATCTCTATTTTCCTCTAACAACAATTTCACCTCCTTACAGGCCTTCTCTGACCTCCCCATCTAATGTAGCCATTCTTGCCCAATTGCTCTCACCATCCTTTCCACTCCCCTCCCTCCCTTCTTCCCTTCCTCCCATCTTTTCTCCTTCTTCTTTCTTTTAGGTTGTGATCACCCACTGTGCTGTGTATTTATTTGTTCTCTACTGTCTGTTCCATACTTTCGCCTACAAAATGTTAGTTCGATGAGATTGGACACCTTGTCTCTCGTTTTTAAACACTGTGCCTCCATTGTCTTAAAAAGTGTCTGGCATGTAGTAGGCATTTAGGATTTGATAACTGAAAGAACGAACAATCAAATGAATGAACAAACAAAGGCATTTTAACCTTCTAGTTTGGCTTGCTATAGAACCTCCAAACTCCCTAACTCAACCTTGAAGATAAGATACTTGAGGCTACCAGCCTGGTGCTATTTTGTTTCAGGCCATCCTTTGGTCCTCAGGCAAGCACTAAAGCAGATGGCCCTCAGTGGGCTGGCTATGTCCTTCTGTGAGCTTGCTGGGCGCCCACCTACGATTCTAGTCTTCGAAGTCTTGCCTTGTACGCCCTGCAGAGAAGGGTTTCATCAAGGTGATTCTCTGCCAGAGGCCAGTGCTCATACCTTTGCTTTGAGAAGGACCAGCCCTGAGACCCAACATCCACCTCCAAGTTCTTGTAATGCCCTCTCAGAATCCCGGAGTCCTGCAGTGTCAGTCCCTGGAGGGATCTGCCACAGCAATGATTTCCCAGACAGAATTGCACTTCAGAGTCAACTGTGGAGTTAATTAAACACTGATCCCTGGGCCCACCCTAAACATACAGAATCAGGATCAGAATCTCAGGGCCTGAGAATCTATATTTTCAGGCCAGGCACCGTGGTTCACGCCTATAATCCCAGCACTTTGGGAGGCCGAGTTGGGCTGATCACCTGAGGTCAGGAGTTCACGATCAGCCTGGCCAATATGGTGAAACCCCGTCTCTCCTAAAAATAAAATTAGCCAGGCATGGTGGTGCACGCCTGTAGTCTCAGCTACTCTGGAGGCTGAGGCACGAGAATCACTTGAACCTGGGAGGCGGAAGCTGCAGTGAGCCGAGATGGTGCCACTGCACTCCAACCTGGGCGACAGAGTGAGACTCTGTTTCAAAAATAATAATAATAATAGAATCTGTATTTTTACAAAACACCCTTCGTAATTCTCCATAGCTGGTCCATGGGTGGGAATTTGGGTTTTGGAACTTTTTGGGATCATAGACCTTTTTGAGAATCTCAAAAAAGAAAATAAAAAGCACACAGAATGTTTCTTACAGTTTCATCAGGCACACAGAAGAGGCCCAGCGCGAAGCAGCTTCTCGCTCAAGGACACAACAGTTCAGGGGCAGAGTCAGCGCGAGGTCTCTCAGCTCTGAGCGCATGTTCTTTTCCCTTCCGGTTTTCTGCAGAATCCCTTCCAGGTTTCTAGTTTTATGGGCAGTAGTTTTATGATGCCCATTTCACGGTTCAGGCAGGTAGAGGCAGAGAGGAGCATTAAGCTGACTTGCCCAGCGTCACTGAGTTGGCTACGGGCAGCTTTCCCAAGGGTACAGATGGCAAACACTGTTCCTTCTCTTTCAGGTGGCCCTGCTCAGAGCTCATGCTGGTGAGCACCTGCTGCTCGGAGCCACCAAGCGATCCATGGTGTTCAAGGACGTGCTGCTCCTAGGTGAGGAGGCTGCCTGCCCTGGCCTGGGCTCCAGGGAGGGCATACCTAGCATGGCACTCACCCAGGCAAGGAGATTCACATGGTGGCATGCAAGGGCGAGGGAGACTAGTCAGGAGTGGCCCTGTCCTCAGGCTTGCATTGGAGGGTTCCAGGACTCAGTTCTCAACTGGATACCCCACTCAGATGCAAAGAAATGTGATGTAAGGCATCAAATTCCCAGCAGTAAAATCAGAGCACAATCAGGATTATCCCTGGAATTACCTGTGCATCTCTCTCTCTCTCTTTTTTTTTTTTTTTTTTTAGAGTCTTGCTCTGTCACTCAGGCGGGAGTGCAATGGTGCAATCTCGGCTCACTTCAGCCTCCGCCTGCCAGGTTCAAGCAATTCTCCTGCCTCACCCTCCAAAGTAGCTGGGACCACAGGTGTGCACCACCACACCCAGCTCATTTTTGTATTTTTAGTATAGACAGGGTTTCACCATGTTGACCAGGCTGGTCTCAAACTTCTGGCCTCAAATGATCCACCTGCCTCAGTCTCCCAAAGTGCTGGGGTTACAGGTGTGAGCCACTGTGCCCAGCCTACCTGTGCATTCTGATGCTCTTTCTGGAGTAGGAGCAAGGAGCAAGAGGTGGTTGGGAATGGCACAAAGCCCAGGCCGTGTCACCTGTGCCTTCATGGCATATTTATTATTATTATTTTTTTTTTTCTGAGATGGAGTTTTGCTCAGTCGCCCATCTGGAGTGCAGTGGCGCGATCTCGGCTCACTGCAAGCTCCGCCTCCCAGGTTCACACCATTCTCCTGCCTCAGCCTCCCGAGTCGCTGGGACTATAGGCGCCCACCACCACGGCCGGCTAATTTTGTGTGTGTGTGTGTATTTTTAGTAGAGATGGGGTTTCACCATGTTAGCCAACCATGATCTCCTGACCTCGTGATCCACCTGCCTCGGCCTCCCAAAGTGCTGGGATTACAGGCGTGAGCCACCGTGCCCGGCCAGCATATTTATTATTTTAAACGCTTGTACAGCACACACTATGCGCCAGGGACTGTGCTCACTGCTTTGCAAACACTACCTATTTTAATACAACAATGCTATGAGGGAAGCTCGATTATTTATCCTCATCTTATAGATGAGAAAACTGAGGCACAGAGAGGTTAAGTAACTTATCCAACTCTAACCGGCTATCAGGGGCAGAGCCATTTAAGCAGGGCAGTGCAGTTCCAGAATCTGGTCCTTTAACTTTGATGCTTTGGTGCCTACCAGGTGGCCTTTGAATGGCATCGATCTTGTGAGTCACATTGGTAAATGGAGCTTGGGTCATGTGAAAGGGGTCCTAGAAAGTCAAGTTCCAAGCTCAGCAGGATTACTGGAGGCTGAGCTTCCTTACCTGTGAAATAGGAGTCATCAGCCCTGCAGGTCCTCCTCCCACAGGCACCAACTATCTTGCCAACTTAAAAACCAAAACTAGAGGAGAGGGGTCAACCCAAGGTGACTTCCCATCCTCCCTCCCTCCCAACCCTTCCAGGCAATGACTACATTGTCCCTCGGCACTGCCCGGAGCTGGCGGAGATGAGCCGGGTGTCCATGCGCATCCTCGACGAGCTGGTGCTGCCCTTCCAGGAGCTGCAGATCGATGACAATGAGTATGCCTACCTCAAAGCCATCATCTTCTTTGACCCAGGTACAGTGCACACCTCCTAAGCCATCCCTGACTCTCTCTCCAGAACACTCTGCTAGACTTCTCCTATTGTACAGAGTTCACAACCTCATCTCATGTTAACGACAGCTAGGAGAGGCCGTTTTCATTTAACGGATGAGGCAAGTCAAGATTTGAAGGGAGGATATGGCCAGGTGCGGTGGCTCACACCTGTAATCCCAGCACTTTGGGAGGCCGAGGCGGCCGGATCACATGAGGTCAGGGGTTCAAGACGAGCCTGGCTAACATGGCAAAACCCCATCTCTACTAAAAATATAAAAATTAGCCGGGCGTGGTGGTGCATGCCTGTAATCCCAGCTACTTGGGAGACTGAAGCAGGAGAATCACTTGAACTTGGGAGGCGGAGGTTGCAGTGAGCCAAGATCGCACCACTGCATTCCAGCCTGGGCGACAGAGTGAGACAGCATCTCAAAGAAACACAAAGGGAGGATATGACTCGACAGGGCACCCTGACTCCAAAGGCCTGGGCTTTCCCTTCTTTTACTTCTTCCCTCCATCCTTCTTTCTCCTTACTTCCTATCTTCCTCTTTTCTTTCATATTTGCTTCTTTTCCTCAAAAAATTTTTATCAAAATAATATCTAGAACCTGATGTGGTGGCTCACACTTGTAATCCCAGCACTTTGGGAGGCTGAGGCAGGAGGATCACTTCAGGCCAGGAGTTCGAGACCAGCCTGGCCAACATAATAAGACCTCGTCTCTATAGAAACTAAAAAAAAATTAGCCAGGGATGGTAGTGAGCACCTGCAGTCCCAGCTACTTGGGAGGCCAAGGTGGGAGGATCTCTTGAGCCCAGGAGGTCGAGGCTGCTGTGAGCTATGATTGCACCACTGCACTCCAGTCTGGGTGACAAAGCAAGACCTCATCTAAAAACTAAATAAATAAGTAAATAAATAAATCTACACATACTTAAAATGCAAATACTTCTCCCCATCCTACTTTTCCAGCTCTAAGTCTACTCCCCAAGAGAAACATGTCTGATTCTTTTAATTGTTTCTTCTGGCAGTTTCCTCAACAATTCTAAATGAAAGACTAAGCCTTATATTTGTTGATGTATTCATTTTGGATCATAACGTTCCTCCTAGGATAGTGGAGGATTTCGCTTTTCTCCATTACCATTCCCATCTTTTCTCCCTCATTTTCCCCAATATATTTTTATTGCTATTTTTGTGTCTCTGTTGCATGTTATGTGCTTTTATCTTTCTTTTCTTGTTCTATCAACTGTAGACAGTATCTCCCAACCCTTCACATTGCAGGATGAAGATAAAGCATTACTACCCTCTCCTGTGGCTCTTGGCTCTCCTCTCCCCATTCTGTCCACTGACTTTCGCACCTGCTTTTATACAGAATGCCTTTGTAGTCAGTCTTTGTACAAAACCTGCTTTTGCTTCCCAGTGTCAAAGGTGCCTGAACCCCGGAGGCTTGCTTGCCTTCCCTGCTTACATGTTAGAGGGGACCTACTGTGTGCCCGGCACTGTCCTTCACACTGCAGATAGATTACCTCTAGTAATAATAGTAATGAAAAGGCCGTGTGCGGTGGCTCATGCCTGTAATCCCAGCACTTTGGGAGACTGAGGCAGGCAGATTACTCAAGGTCAGGAGTTCCAGACCAGCCTGGCCAACATGGTGAAACCCCGTCTCTACTAAAAATACAAAAATTAGCTGTGTGATTTCAAGGCAGGAGAATCACTTGAACCTGGGAGGCGGAGGTTGCAGTGGGAGCCAAGATCATGCCATTGCCCTCCAGCCTGAGCAACAAGAGCAAAACTTCATCTCAAAAAACAAAAGAAAACAAAACAAAACAAAACAAAAATATATATATATATAGTGATGAAGAGGAAGATGAGCCCCATGTATTAAATGCTCACTAAAGAGCTGTTTTCAAACACTTCATGTGGATTATCTTACTTACCAACATGGTACCTGTGAAGTAGGAATTATTATCTCCATTTAACAGATAAGGAAATTGAGGCATGATTAACTTGCCCAAGGTCACGCAACCAGAAAATGGCAGAGCTTGGATTTGAACTTCAGACCACCTGTCAATCCCGATTTCTCTCTCTCTCAAGCCCACATTCTTACCTACCACGTGCTATCCCACCCTCCCAGAGGGTGAGATTTCTAGTTCTAGCTCCCTCCACAGCCTGGCCCAGCCTGTATCCTCTGTAGTGCTCGGCATGAGGCTGGACTGGCAGAATTGTTCTGCAAAATGGGCAGGATCACTGATGCTGAGTCAGAGGCAGCAGCCTCCAGCAATTTGAAGGGGTGGGGCACCTAGTTCCCCTGGCATGCAGGAGGTGCTCAGTAAACATTTGTGGACTGAATGAACAAATGAACAAACATGATTCAGTGGAGAGAGCTCACTAGAAATGTGGGTGAATGTTCTTTCTGCCACTTCCTTTCTCCAGGAAAGAGGAAATAAATGCATTACCTCCACAAAGGTCGGGATTAAATATTGAATGACCGCTTAAGTCCCTTCTAGGCTAAGGATCTAGAATTTATTCACTGATTTTTTTTCATTCATTCATCCAGCCATCTAACAAAATATATATATAGTTATAAATAAATATAACGCCCGGCCCTATTCAATAAATATTGACTATGCATGGTGCTAGGTGGTGGGTTTGACATGGCAAAGGCTAGGTGCAGTGGCTCACACCTGTAATCCCAACATTTTCAGAGGCCGAGGCAGGCAGATTACTTGAGGTCAGAAGTTTGAGACCAGCCTGGCCAGCATGGTGAAACCCTGTCTCCACTAAAATACAAAAATTAGCTGGATGTGGTATGTGCCTGTAATCCCAGCTACTCGGGAGGCTGAGGCAGGAGAATCGCTTGAATCCGGGAGGCAGAGGTTGCAATGAGCTGAGATCACACCACTGCACTCCAGCCTGGGAGTCAGAGGGAGACTCAGTCCCAAAAAATAAAATAAAATAAAGTAAGATAAAATAAACATGGCAAATAAGACATATGCCTGCCCCTGCAGAGCTCACCTTTGGATGGCACAACAATTACATCCTGTGTGGTCAGCAGTGATGGAGGGGCCGCAGAGATTTGGAAACAGGAAGGACACAGGATGCAGACATAGGAGGGTAGAAGGGAGACTTCCTGGAGGAGATGAAACCTAACCTGAGTCCCTAAGGTGATAGGAAGCAGGAACCAGGGAAGGGGAGCCTATTCTAACACAGTAGAGGCAGCAAGTGCTGAGGTCTGGATGAGGGGACCTCAACTGTGGCCCAAAACCCCAAGTTCCCATCGTGGCTCTGCCAACAACTGGCTGTGCCACCCAGGACAAGCCCTATCCTTGCACTGTGTCTGGGTTTCCCCTTGTGTAAGATGAGGCAGTTGCTAGGTGCTTATTGGATGCGTTCCTCAAGTCCCGCCCTCCATCTCCTATTCCCCACTCTTCTGGTTTAGTGCCTTAGGAAACGTGGCAGAAATCTTTTTCTGCCTGTGTCTAGGAAATTACAATTCATACTGGCATACCCTGGTTGTTGAGGTCCCTGAATCCTTGTGCCCACACTGCTGAAGACTCCTTGTGTGACACAAGTCAGGGGACATCTGGGTCTTGACTCCCCAGATTCTCCAGCTGGACCCTACTGCCCTCCCTTGCCCACCTTCTTCCATTGTAGATGCCAAAGGGCTGAGCGATCCAGGGAAGATCAAGCGGCTGCGTTCCCAGGTGCAGGTGAGCTTGGAAGACTACATCAATGACCGCCAGTATGACTCGCGCGGCCGCTTTGGAGAGCTGCTGCTGCTGCTACCTACCCTGCAGAGCATCACCTGGCAGATGATCGAGCAGATCCAGTTCATCAAGCTCTTTGGCATGGCCAAGATCGACAACCTGCTGCAGGAGATGCTGCTGGGAGGTCCGTGCCAGGCCCAGGAGGGGCAGGGTTGGAGGGGGGACTCTCTAGGAGACAGCCTCACACAGACCTGAGCTCACCCCTCAGCTCCTTGGCTTCCCCACTGTGCAGCTTTGGGCAAGTTGCTTAACCCATCTGTGCCTCAGTTTCCTCATCAGAAAAATGGGAACAAAGGCAATGGTCTATCTGTTCAGGCGCTGAGAGCCTAGCACATGCCAGTCACTGTTCTGAGTGCTGGCAATTCAGTGAAGAACATGATCTTTGCCCTCCGGGAGGCTGTGTATGTGTGAGTGTGTATGGATGCATGGATATCTGTGTATATGCCCGTTTGTGTGTGCATGTGTGTATAAAGGCTCACATTTTATGATTTTGAAATAAACAGGTAATATGGTAGAGTTTAACTGAAAAGGAATCCTCTTTAGATAGGGGAGGCCAAAGGAGACCTCTCTGAAATGGTGACTCTTGTGCTAAGACCCTAATGGCTGAAAGGAAGTGCAAGGCTTAAAAGACAAGAGAGCAGTGGCTCACACCTGTAATCCCAGCACTTTGGGAGGCCAAGGAGGGCAGATCACGAGGTCGGGAGATTGAGACCATCCTGGCTAACACAGTGAAACCCTGTCTGTACTAAAAATACAAAAAATTGGCTGGGTGTGGTGGCGGGCGCCTGTGGTCCCAGCTACTCGGGAGGCTGAGGTAGGAGAATGGCGTGAACCTGGGAGGTGGAGTTTGCAGTGAGCTGAGATCGTGCCACTGCACTCCAGCCTGGGCAACACAGCGAGACTCCATCAAAAAAAAAAAAAAGACAAGAGAGGAATATTCCAAGAAGAAGGAACTACTTCAAGGGCCCCGGAGAGGAGAGAGTTGTGTGTTTGAGAAAGAAGGGCAAGGTTGTGAGATGGAGGAGATGGAGGAGGTGAAGATGGAGATTGGGCAGAAACCAAATCATAAACATATGGCTTTGTAAACCTTGTCAGAAATTTGGATTTTATTCTCATTGCAACTATTGTAAGGAGAGTGAAAACAAGACTAATTATTTTTATTCTTTGAGACAAAATTTCCCTCTATCATCCAGGCTGGAGTGCAGTGGCAGGATCTCAGCTCACTGCAACCTTCACCTCCCAAGTTCAAGCAATTCTCCTGTGCAGCCTCCCAAGTAGCTGGGATTACAGGCACCCGCCACCACGCCCAGCTCTTTTTTTTATATTTTTAGCAGAGATGGGGTTTCACCCTATCGGCCAAGATGGTCTCAAACTCCTGACCTCAAGTGATTGCCCACCTCGGTCTCCCAAAGTGCTAGAATGACAGGCGTGAGCCACCATGCCCAGCCCAGACTAATGCTTTAAACAAACCACTCAGACTGTTGGGTACAAAGTAAATTGCAGAGATTCCTGAGAATGTCACTGTCTCCAATCATGTGACAGATGATGAAGGCTTGGACCATGGAAATGGAGCAGTGAAGATAAACCGGATCATCTATTTGGAGGAAGAGCCCACACCCACAGGATTTGCTGACTGATTAGATGCAGGGAGTGACAGGAAGAGGAATAGTCAAGGACAGAGTCTAAATTTTTGCTTTGAATAGCAGAAATGATGATGGAGTAGTTTACCGAGATGAGGAGGACAGAATAAACAACTTGATGCTGCGGTCTGGGGGTGGTCGTGAGGGGTGACCTCAGAGATCCGTTGTGGACTCTCTTTTTTTCCTTTTTCTTTTTTTTTTTTTTTTTTTTTGAGACGAGATCTCTCTCTGTCACCCAGGCTGGAGTGCAGTGGCGCAGTCATAGCTCACTGCAGCCTCAACCTTCCAGGCTCAAGAGATCCTCCAGTCTTCCGAGTAGCTGGGACTACAGGTGTGTGCCACCATACCCGGCTAATTTTTCATTTTTATTTTTTATAGAGACGACGTCTCACTATGTTGCCCAGGCTAGTCTTGAACTCCTGGTCTTAAGCAATCCTTCCGACTTGGCCTCTCAAAGTGCTGGGATTACAGGTGTGAGCCACCATGCCCAGCCTCATTGTGGACTTTCATTAAGCATGAGATGACTATTACAAGTCCAAGTTGCCAAGGAGGCAGTTGAATGTATGAGTCTGCTGCTCAAGCACAAGATTAAAGGCAGCTCTGTGGAATCGGGGGAAGATGGAGCCATGGAGGGAAGGGAAGAAGAATGGCCGGAGGGGTAGGAGAAAACCAGGGCAATTCCAGAATCCAAGAGAAGAGCGTGTTTGAAGGACAGAGTGTTTAATGGTGTTACACTCTGCAGAGAGACAGAAAGAAGGAGGGAGGAATGGAGAGGTGAAGGGAGGAGGGGAAGAGAGAGGAAAGAGTCCATTGGATTGGCAGCTGGAGGCTCTTGGCAATTGTGTTGAAAGCAGTTTCAGAGAGCTGGGAGAGTGGAAACCAGATTGGAGAGTGCTCCAAAGACAGCAAGTGGGAAGGTGGAGATAGAGTAGATAACCCTTTGAAATGGTTTGACTGTGAAGGGGAGTATGAAGGAGTTAGGATGACTGCAAGGGAGTGATTAGAATGATAGGTCATGCAGTCTGGGCTGCACTCAAAGAGAAATAAAGACAGAGGCTGGGTGCGGTGGCTCACACCTGTAATCCTAGCACTTTGGGAGGCCGAGGCGGGTGGATCACTTGAGGCTAGGAGCTCAAGACCAACCTGGCCAACACAGCAAAACACCATCTCTACTAAAAATACAAAAAAAATTAGCCAGACGTGGTGGCATGCGCCTGTAATCCCAGCTACTCGGGAGACTGAGGCAGGACAATCGCTTGAACCCAGGAGACGGAGGTTGCAGTGAGCCGAGATTGTGACATTGCACTCCAGCATGTGTGACAGAGCAAGACTCTGTCTCAACAACAACAACAAAAGGATGGGGTGATAGTGAAAAGAGAGTGTCGGTGAATTGACAGCCTCAGTAGGCTGAAGAAGTTTTGCAGTGATGGTACTAGATTAAGGGAGCTGGAAGGACACAGGTGAAGTCAAAGTAGGGATGTTGAATTCGAGATTTTGGAGGTGCTTCAGTGAGGGCGAGGTTTCTCAACACTGGTACTATTGATACTTGGAACTGGACGATTCTTTGTTGTGCTGGGCTGTCCTGTGCGTTGTTTGGCTGCATCTCTGTCCTGTACCCATAAGGAGCCAGTAGCACTTCTCCAGTAGTGACAACCAAAAATGTCTTCGGATATAGTCAAACGTCTCCTAATGGGCCAAAATCATCCCCAGTTGGGAACCACTGTTGTGTGATAGCTTATTTCATTCTCACTTTGACCCTGTGAACATGGGGTTACTATGAATCAGGTGTCACTGAGATTAGGATCAGGAGCCTGTGGTCTGTTGCCAAATAGTTAAGAGCTCTGGGTTTAGTTGTCTCATCTGTAGAATGGGCTAATAATAGTATCCATTCTATAGGATTGTTGTAAGGATTAAATTATGTAAAACATGAAAAGTGCTATACAACAGTACCTGGCACATGATAATTGTTAATTATCAACAGTCGTTATTTATCACTGAGATCGATGTGCTGTAGAGATCTCTTACAAGCATTGAAATTCCATCATTGTCATATTACTCACCATAGGCTATTATTAAACCATACCCCATGTGGTATTTTTACTCCCTGACACATGTTTAAAGCGGTTACTGTGTTCCAGACAATCTGCTAGGCTCTCAAAGAAAGAAGAAAAATACATCTGAAATTGTAATGCTCATAGACAGAAGAAGTAGTTGTTCCTAAAAGTTGTGTTACAGATAAATTACTATGAGAAATCCAAGGAATGAGAACGAGGAGAATCAGGAGAGGCTTCTAAAGAGAGGAAATATATGAGCTGGGATTTGGGCTTATGGACGTGGAGCGGGTTTGGGGTGGAAAAAACATCTCTGACGGAAGCTACAACGTGAGCAGAAGCATAGAGATAGGAAAACACAGGGGACACATAAATGCTATAAGTAGGTCAGTTGACTGCAGCAGAGATGTGGGGGATGAGGCTGGAAGGTGAGGCGGGACCAAATGGTTGAAGGACTTGCACGCCAAGGAGCCTTGAGAGCCATTGATTACATCCAATACGCTACTCATTAGAACATTTACTTGATCTCAGAGCTTCCTTATAGGCACCTTGTTTCTTTCAACTCACTTTTGTTCTCTTGGTTTTTTGGGGCCTTCTTAACACCCTCATGAAGCCTACGAATGGGAATGGTACACCCTAGTTTACTAACCCAGGAATAGGTCCCCAACAGGCATTGCCAATATTGGATGGGCAGGTTGATTGGTCACACCTGAGGAAGATGGCATCCCAAGGCCTGAGGTCTGCATCCCATACTCTTCATCTTGATCGATCTTCTCTTCCTGCAGGGTCCTCCAGCGATGCACCCCATGCCCACCACCCCCTGCACCCTCACCTGATGCAGGAACACATGGGAACCAATGTCATCGTTGCCAACACAATGCCCACTCACCTCAGCAATGGACAGATGTGTGAGTGGCCCCGACCCAGGGGGCAGGCAGGTGGGCAACCTCTGGGGCTCTACCTTGCAAAGGGTGAGGATGGGGCTTAAGAGAGGAAGCAGGAGAAGGTGGAGTCTAGAAGGTAGAACCAGGATGCAACAATTTTCTGGGTTCCAGGGTAGGGAATAAAGGGCAAGGTTGTCCGTTTGTTGAGGCTGTTTATTCAGTAAGGTGACTGACAACCTTTACTGAATGAAGCCATTGTTGGGATGAGGCAATCCACTGGATGAAGTAACCTATTGGGTGAAGATGTTCTTGGGTGAGAATCCCATTAGTTGACATTGTCCATTAGGTAAAAGTGATCATTGACGTAAGGCTGCTCAATTGGGTAAGGCTATCCATTAAACAATTAGATGAGACTATCCATTGGGTCAGGATGTCTGCTGGACTAGACCATCCTCTGAAACCTCCAAAGTGTAAACTTGTCATTGGGCAAGGCTCTTCAAAGAATAAGATTATCAATGGGATGAAGTGATCCACTGAGATGAGATGATATTTTACTGACGTTGTTCTTGGAGAAAGTTGTCCATTGAACAAAGATTGCCAATTGGGTCAAATTTGCTCTCCAAACCTGCCATGAGAGTGAGGCCAGTTTCTATTACTCATGTCCTAAATATCCAAGAAATGGTATTTTTTGAGCCAGTTGGCCCTGGGTCTCATCAGCTGCTGGCTCCTTCTCCCAGGAAAGAATATCCCTGTCACCCATCCCATTGCCGTTGGTGACAGCCAGGCCTGGGCCTTGGTTTCAGAGAAGCAGTTCAAGTCTGCATATCAAATAAATGATGGAGGAGATGGGTGGTGGGACCTTCCAGACCTCATAAAACTTAGGCTTTATGATCTGGGACTCACAGAAGGTTGAGTCATAAAAGACCTTGGGGATTATCTGGTTTAATTAATTCTCTCATTTTATAGAGGAAGAAATTAAGTCAAGGCGGGGCGGGCTGGGGGTTGGGGGGAGAATTTTCCCAGGGCTCTTCATTTACTCCCACAAAGGCTGGAATTTTGAGCAGCTCCTATCTGTCTGTTTGTCCTTCCAGCCACCCCTGAGACCCCACAGCCCTCACCGCCAGGTGGCTCAGGGTCTGAGCCCTACAAGCTCCTGCCAGGAGCCGTCGCCACAATCGTCAAGCCCCTCTCTGCCATCCCCCAGCCGACCATCACCAAGCAGGAAGTTATCTAGCAAGCCGCTGGGGCTTGGGGGCTCCGCTGGCTCCCCCCAGCCCCCTCAGAGAACGCCTGGTGATCACGTGGTCACGGCAAAGGAAGACGTGACGCCAGGACCAGTCCCAGAGCAGGAATGGGAAGGATAAAGGGCCCGAGAACATGGCCTAAGGGCCACATCCCACTGCCACCCTTGACACTCTGCTCTGGATAACGAGACTTTCACTTGGGAAGACGCCACTGGAAAGTCCTCTACTGCCTTGGACAACTTTTCTCATGTTGAAGCCACTGCCTTCACCTTCACCTTCATCCATTCGCTCCTCCTTCTGCTGCTGCCCCCACGTCAAACGCCCGTTTCCCTCTGCTGTCGCCTTGCTCAGCCATCCCGTCTTCTCCAGCACCACCTCTCCAGAGGCCAAGGAGGCCTTGAAAACGATTCCCCCAGTCATTCTGGGAGCATGTTGTAAGCACTGACTGGGGCCAGGCAGGGTCTAGAAGGCTGTGGTGAGGGAAGACACCTTTCTCCTCCAGCCCCACCGCACCCTCCTTCTTCAGGGACTTGGGTGGGTATTTGGGGTGAAGATCTCTGCAGACCTTCAACCCGAGAAAACAAGCCCAGGTTGGCAACTGCAACAGGAACTTGGAGTGGAGAGGAAAAGCATCAGAAGGAGGCAGACCATCCACTAGGCCTTTGAGAAAGGGTAGACTTCTGGCTGGTAGAGCGGGTGAGACGGGACATTCCAAAGAACAGCCTGAGCCAAGGCCTCGTGGTAGGAAGAATCTAGCAAGAATTGAGGAAGAATGGTGTGGGAAAGGGATGATGAAGAGAGAGAAGGCCTGCTGGAGAGCATAGGGTCTGGAATACCAGGCTGAGGCCCTGATCAGCGGCAAGGGGTATGCAGGGAGCTGGGCTTCCAGAAAATGAACACAGCAGTTCTGTAGAGGATGGGAGGCTGGGAGCTGGGAGGTCAGGTGGGGTGGATGATGTAATGCGGGTGAGAGTAATGAGGCTTGGGGCTGGAGAGGACAAGATGGGTAAACTCTCACATCAGAGTGACATCCAGGAGGAATGATCTCCCAGGGCCTGTCTCAAGCTCTTCCTTACTCCCAGGCACTGTCTTAAGGCATCTGATATGCATCATCTCATTTAATCCTCCCTTCCTCCCTATTAACCTAGAGATTGTTTTTGTTTTTTTATTCTCCTCCTCCCTCCCCACACTTACCCGCCCCTCCTAACCTAGAGATTGTTACAGAAGATGAAATTGCGTTCTAAGAGGTGAAGTGATTTTTTTTTCTGAAACTCACACAACTAGGAAGTGGCTGAGTCAGGACTTGAACCCAGGTCTCCCTGGATCAGAACAGGAGCTCTTAACGAGAGTGGCTGAATAACTTTTCCAAAGGCTCCCTTTGTTCTCACTGTGATCAAGTTGGGGGGCTTCTGGCTCCCTTCTCCAGCCTCAGAAACCGGACTCGTTCTTCTGGGAACTCTGCCCACTCCCAGGACCAAGACTGGCCTGAGGCTGCACTAAAATTCACTTAGGGTCGAGTATCCTGTTTGCTGATAAATATGTAGGAGAATTCATAACTCTTGAGAGCTTTTCTCTCTTCACTCCCCAAGTCTAGGGGAGGGGTGGCAGGGGTCTGTTTCCTGGGAGTCAGGTTCATCTGGCCTGTTGGCATGGGGGTGGGACAGTGTGTGCAGTGTGGGGGCACGGGAGGGCTAAGCAGGCCCAGGTTTGAGGCCTATTCTGGAGATCGTCACTCCAGGTGTATTCTGGAAACACTGGACCCTAGGATGGAGCATCCAGCATGTCATCCATGTGGAATCTTGGTGTCTTTGGGGACATTCTGGAAAATGCCACTGACCAGTGTGAACAAAAGGGATGTGTCCTGGGGCTGGAGGTGTGATTAGGTAGGAGGGAAACTGTTGGACCGACTCCTGCCCCCCGCTCAACACTGACCCCTCTGAGTGGATGGAGGCAGTGCCCCAGTGCCCAGAAATCCCACCATTAGTGATTGTTTTTTATGAGAAAGAGGCATGGAGAAGTATTGGGGCGAGTGTCAGAGAGGAATCAACGCATCCCTACAGCAGTCCCAGCCAAACCCCCAGTCCCAGGAGAGACTGCGCCCTGCTCAAAGCTCCCTAGCCTTCCTCCACCACCTCATTCAAGTGCCCCTGAAATCTCCTCCAGATAGCTCAGCCTGGTCTGCGGTAAGGCAGGGAAGCTAGAACCATTTCCCGGCATTGTGGTCATTCCCACTCTGTTCCTCCACCTCCTCCCTCCAGCGTTGCTCAGGCCTCTGTCACGGGAGCAAGGTTGAGATAAGAATGTGCCATGGCGTGCAGAGGGCAACAGTGGCCCTTCATGGGAACAATCTTTTGGAGCAGGGGGTCAGTTCTCTGCTGGGAATCTACCCCTTTCTGGAGAAGAAACCCATTCCACTTTAATAACTTTATTGTAATGTGAGAAACACAAAACAAAGTTTACTTTTTTGACTCTAAGCTGACATATTAGAAAATCTCTCTTTCTCTCTTTTTTTTTTTTTTTTTTTTTTTTGGCCACTTGAGTTGTGGTCCTAAAACATAAAATCTGATGGACTAACAGAGGGTTGCTGGGGGGACAAGCGTGGGCACAACGGTTCCCCCACCAAGACACCCCGATCTTCAGGCAGCTCTCAGCAGCTTCTAAAATCCGCATGGCTCTCCTGAGAGCGGACAGAGGAGAGGAGAGGGTCGGAAATGAACGCTCTTCTATTGTTTGTCATTACCAAGCCAATTACATTTGCCAAATTTTTCTGTGATCTGCCCTGATTAAGATGAATTGTGAAATTTACATCAAGCAATTACCAAAGTGGGCTGGGTCCCATCAGAACGACCCACATCTTTCTGTGGGTGTGAATGTCATTAGGTCCTGCGCTGACCCCTGAGCCCCCATCACGGCCGCCTGATGGGGCAAAGAAACAAAAAACATTTCGTACTCTTGTGTGTTTTAACAAAAGTTTATAAAACAAAATAAATGGCGCATATGTTTTCTAAGTCCTCGGATGAGTCTATTTTCTTTCAGGTGTCAGAAATAAGACTGAATCTTCTGGTTCTACTTGGGGGCTAAAAAAAAAATTTTTTTAAGGAAGAATGAGAATAGTTTTATAGTTCTTTGTGATGTGCAGAATGTTTTTGTATCCATTATAATTTCTGAGTCTTCACATCACGAGGTAAGCAGTTAGACATGATTACTCCCGCTTTCCAGATGAGGAGACTGAGACTTGGGGAAGTGATTTCTCTTGGGTGGCAGAGGTAGACATCTAACCCTGGTCTCTTGATTCCAAGTACTTAGTATATGGAGAGAGTGAAAGTTGATCCCCCTTCTTGAAGAGGGGAGTGATGAGGGAGAGTGTAATAGAAAGATCTGGAAGAATGGCAAGAGGGTCCAAGGGTCTGTCATCCTCCACGAAGGTCCAAGACAGAGCCCTTTTCTGGGTCGCCTCAATCTGCCAGCAATGAGATGAGTAGCTGTGGGGACATTCCATAAAAGCAAGTGGCTTTTTTGTTTTGTTTTGTTTTTTGCTTTTTTCTAGAACAAGGCTGTGCACAGTGGCTCATATCTGTAATCCCAGCACTTTTGGAGGCTGAGGCAGGAGGATCACTTGAGCTCAGGAGTTCGAGACCAGCCAGAGCAATATAAGGAGACCCCATCCCTACAAAAAAATTTAAAAATTAGCTAGGTGTGGTGGTGTGTGCCTATAGTACCAGCTACTCTGAAGGCTGAGGAGGGAGGATTGCTTCAGCCCACGAGTTCGAGGATGCAGTGAGCTATGAATGCAACACTGCACTACAGTCTGGGTGAAAGAGCATGAATGCAACACTGCACTACGGTCTGGGTGAAAGAGCAAGACCCTGTTTCAAAACATAAATAATAAGTAGAAAGAATAAAAGCAAGGGATGTGCTTGAGAATCTCCAGCCAGATCTGTAGGCACTGGGGTTCTCTCCATGGCTAAACTATTATAGGAGGGCGGCCTTGTGTCTCGGCCACCACAGACCACACCGTTCCATTCACTCGGGGTTGTGCTGGAGCTGGCTTGTGAGAACTGACTATTAGCTTCTCTTCCCAATTCCGTGTTTGCCAGTGCCACACTGATAGCTTGAGATTGGTTATTGCTGGAGTGTTTACACCACAAGGACTAGCAAACTCTACAAATCAGGGCTTTTGTTCCTGGAGAGCCCATTGTTAACATTCACCAGCACACCACAGCATTCGGTGATGGCTGGACCGTGGGATGCCAACATATGGGGACATCCTCACTGGGGATGAGGGTAGAGCAGCATGATCCTTTCAGCTCTTCCTTAATGGAGGGGACAAAAGTTCTGGTCTGGGAAGCACACGTCTTACTGATCAGTGTAACCTTGGGCAGGTCACTCCACCACTCCGAGCCTCATCTGTAAACTGGGAATGAGATCTTCCTCCAGGGAAGATGTCAGGATTGAATGGAATGAGAGCACAGTAACTGTGAGAGCTCCCGTTACATGAGGAGTACAAGTGAACTTTTCATGCCCCTTTCTAGCGAGAGGTTAACCATTAAACTCTCCAGCCTTCAGAGCACCCATTCGCTGTCTACCTGATCCCTAGGGCCGCTCCTGCCTTCCCCTGTGCCTTCCCTCCACTAGTCAGCACCAGGAAATGTTTTCAACAGCGTTGCAACAGAGGCCTTGTTCATGCTGCTGCCATCAGGGACACGAGGGGGTGGGGACCAGCGGAGACTATTTCAGTCTAAATTGTGCTTAATAAACCCATATCAAAACCATAAACCCTGGGCTGCCATAAATTCCTCTACCCTTGGTTCCTCCACCTCATCAGCCCTTTGCCCTGGTTAATCTCAAATCTCAGCACAGGCAGCCAGAGCTTCAGGTTTGGTTTCTATTTCAGTTGCTAAACAGCATCAGCTCAGGTAGCAGACAGTCAAATTCCCATTTTATAGATGATGAAACTGAGGTTCAGAAAGGTGAAGAAACTTGTCCAAGGTCACACAGCTAGAGACCCCAGTCAAGACCTGAGCCCATGCTTCCACCATCCAGGTAGCCTGATTAAGAAATGGGAATTATTGGCGGAGCCTGTTGGTTCACACCTGTAATCCCACCACTTTGGGAGGCCAAGGTGGGCAGATCACCTGAGATTAGGAGTTCAAGACTAGCCTGGCCAACATGGTGAAACTCCATCTCTACTAAAAATACAAAAATTAGCCGGGCATGGTGGTGCACACCTGTAATCCCAGCTACTTGGGAGGCTGAGCCAGGAGAGTTGCTTGAACCCAAGAGACAGAGGTTGCAGTGAGCCAAGATCATGCCACTGCACTCCAGCCTGGGTGACAGAGCGAGACTCCATCTCAAAAAAAAAAAAAAGGAATTATCAATTCTCAAGCTTCTCGGGGAGACAGATTGGAGGTTTCCTCTCATGTCCTTGTTTGGCAGCCCTACAATTAAACCTCTTTCTCTGCTACAAAACAATGGGAAAAAGAACTGGAATTTCTAAGACTCCTCCTTTTTTTTTCTTTTTTGAGTCACGGTCTCTCTCTGTCACCTAGGCTGGAATGTAGTGGCGCCATCATAGCTCTCTGCAACCTCTGCCTCCAGAGCTCAAGCAATCCTCTCGCCCCAGCCTTTTGAGTAGCTGGGGTACAGTGTGCCAGCACACCTGGCTAATTTTTTCTTTTATTTTTAGTAAAGATGGGGTCTTGCTATGTTGCCCAGGCTGACCCCTTTTTAGTTCCTCTGAAAAGTTGTTTCCCTAAGCCATGCTACTAGAAGCTTCTTATTCCATCATTCCATCATTGCTCAGCGTGGGGACCAGAAGTAGAAGGGCCCTTGGGTGACAGGCTGCTTGAAGACCCAAAGAAAGTTTCATGAGGTGTGAATGGCCTGTCATCCCAAATTGGTGAGATCGTCCTACTTCCTCATTTGTGGAACCCAGATAACCTTTGATCTACACTTCTCAGATCCACGTATCATACCTAAATTCCAGGATGTGATCTCAGAGGCCTGAATCACAGGATCCCAGGCAGCTGTTTGACGATGGTGGAGTTAGACAGCAAATCATGACGCCAAGGACATTTACTGGGCTCTTCCTCTTTGCCAAACATGACTGGACATGATTTAATTCCCACAACAACCTCTGAGGCTGTCATTCTTGTGGTTCTGTTCCACAAATGAGGAAACAAGGCCGGGCATGGTGGCTCACGCCTTTAATCCCAGCACTTTGGGAGGCTGAGGCAGGTGGATCACCTGCGGACAAATGTTTGAGACCAGCCTGGCCAACATGGTGAAACCTCATCTCCATTAAAAATACAAAAAAAAAAAAAAAAAAAAAAAAAAGGCCGGGCGTGGTGGCATGTGCCTGTAGTCCTGGCTACTCGGGAGGCTGAGGCAGGAGAATCGCTTGAACCCGGGAGAGGGAGGTTCCAGTGAGCCGAGATCATGCCACTGCACTCCAGTGTGAGCAAAACCATGAGATCCTACAACAACAACAACAGCAACAACAACAACAAAGAGGAAACAGGCTCCGGAGGAGAGAGGAAGGGACCTGCCCAACACACAGCTGGTAACCACTCCATAGCTGGTGTGGACGCTGATCTGATGCTCACTGTCTGGCTCCAGGGGCCAACATGAGGCCTTGAGGAAGACACTGGTGACTCCGTCACTGCGTGGTGGGCACAGAAGTAGTGTGAATGGTGGAAAGTTCATCTCATGCCAAATGCCGATGGGCAGAGCCCTGCGCCGGGCATGCTGGGATTATGGAGAAGCAATGGCACGAGGCGCCTCCCTCCTAGAGCTTTCAGTTTTCACAAGGACGGGAAAATTAGAAGCAGTTGATGACAAGAGCCAAAGGGGTGAACGTGACAGCCGGTGAGGTGGCAGGGAGGGCGAGGTGACTGTACTCTGGGAAAGGGAGAGGTGTGTGCTTTGAAGGAGGATTCAGAGGCAATAATGAGGCAAGACAGAAGTGCACTCGAGGCTGAGGAGTGAGCGGCAAGTGGGAGGAGGCAGCGGGAACTCTGTGCATGGGGGCAGGACGAGGCTGGCGTTTTCCAACTTTCGTGCACATGCCACCTTGCCCTCTCTATGCCCAAGGACTGCTGTAACTTCCACTACTTATTTTTTGTTAAATCGGTTCATCATGATTCCCCTTAAACTTCAGGTCACTGACATAAATAGGAAACTAGCATCCTTTGCCATAAATAAGAGGTGATTGCAAAATTAGTGAAAAGAAAACAATGATTTTCAACTGCAGCCAGGTGGGATTGCCTCAGGGAAAGCTCCGCTCTTGCGTTCGTGTTAAAAAGGAACACTGACAAATATTACAGAGATGTTAAGGGCGTACACGTAGCCAATGGAGACTTTCTCCTTAAAGCTTTCAGAGAGAACACTGTAAAGGACAGACTTTGGGTATAATATCTCTTAATACGTTTCCAGTGTATCTCTAAAACTTCCCCCAGTTCCACTGGAAGCCCTCATCCCTCTTCTGGAAGCTCGCTCACTAGGACAGCTGGTGTGCACACAAGTGGTGGGAACCTCAAATACTGCACAGAGGAGTCTGGAATTTCTTCCGGGAAAAAGGAAGCCACTAGAGGTTCTATTTGTTTGTTTTTTTGAGAGGGGATCTCGCTCTGTCACCCAGGCTGGAGTGCAATGGCCTGATCTCAGCTTTCTACAACCTCTGTCTCCCGGGTTCTAGCAATTCTCCTGCCTCAGCCTCCCAAGTAGCTGAGATTACAGGAGCCCGAAACCACACCCAGCTAATTTTTTGTATTTTTAGTAGAGGTGGGGTTTTGCCATGTTGCCCAGGCTGGTTTCCAATCCCTGACCTCAAGTGATCTGCCCGCCTTGGCCTCCCAATGTGCTAGGATTACAGGTATGAGCTGCCGCGCCCGGCCCACTGGAGGTTTGAGAGCAGTGCAGGTTATAGGCAGATCTGTATATATGTATATAAATATATATATGCATATAAATATATATGTATATAAATATATGTGTGTATATGTGTGTGTGC